AGGAGCACATTATGTGCTTAAGTTACAAAGTGAAAACTTTAGACTTGTTGAAAGGCAGCATGATTTTAGCAGAAGTTGGGTGATGTTATGGGAGAAATGAATCCAGCATCTACAGTACAGTACTGATCTCTATGCATCGTGAGCATTTATTGTTTTTCCTCAACAGCAGGGTTCCTTGCAACCATAGACCCCTGGATACCAAGGATCTATGGTATGAGGAAGAAGAGGCCTGAGCTAAGACTATTCAAGGTGCAAGGAAGAATGTCAAAAGCCTCCCTCCCTCCGTTACATTATCCATTGCAACAGAGGCTGTTTCTCTTTTCTAGACACCTTGTATTGAATGTGTTCTCTGTGCTGTGTACAGGCTTCACTCATGTTTAAATGTTACAGGGACCTTATCATCACACTTTTCCCTCTGCATTTCCTAAATGAGGAAACAGAAGCTGAAGGTCACATAGCTAGAGCAGTGACGAGGCTAGTGACTGGGCCCAAGGCTGCCTCTAGACAAGACTGTGTTGCGTCCCTATCTGAGACCTGAAGGATTAGCTTTAGGATTTTGTTTAGTTGGTAAAGAATATTGAGTGTGGAAAGCTATTGAAGGAGGGTGTATATGTCCTTTTCTGAATGCCATGATGAGTGTATGGATCCTTAACACACACACAAAAGGACGACTCCTATAATCTTTTAGGGTTTTCTACAACTCTGTCAACTTTTGCTTTTGGGGAAATGTTTAAGTGCTGCTTGAAGATTAAAAGCATGCACTGTTTTATAAGCAATGAGTGAGATATACGTTTACCTACTGAATATGCTAATTCAAATTTTCATCAGGACAAGCTGAAAAATAGCATGTGTTCAATGCCATAAGATGCCTGTATACTCCAAGCTGAAAGCAGGTGTGTGTGCTGTGTTGGCTTGCTGCAGAGTGGTCCAAGGAACATTTCTAGAGCGACTTCCCAACTGTGATAGCTCTACTATGTCCTCGCCTAGAGAAATGACTTGTTTTTCCTTGAGGACAGCCCTTACTCTTGGGGCTGAGGACAAAGGTTATATCTGAATTATGAAAATGAACACTTACAAGTAAAGGCCAATGTAAACAGATCAGCAAGTGCTGAAGGGATACCAGATATATTAGAATAAAGAAAAGGACGATGCAGATTTCCTGAATTGTGATTGCTATAAATGCCTCATGGGCTCGGCCAGTGATGAAACAAGCTACTGCTCCTACGATAAGAGCCTGCAATAAAGAAAGGGGATTTGTTTTAATGAACATGTCTATTTAAAAAATTGTCAGAATGTAAATTTGATTATATAGCAATTGCCTGTTTTATTTTTTAAATTTTTCAGAAATGAAATAACATATGTAAATAATAAATAATAAAAATGCACATAATATAGAAAGGTTAAAAAATGTCAATTTTTTCTCCTCTCCTGGTCTCTTTCTGAAAAAGAAATCATTATTAACAGTTTACATTTCTAGAAAGAAGTCTGTATATATACTGGTAAAGTAAACATGTATTGATTTTGAAAGTGAGATGAGCCTCAATTTCTCTTTTCCCAAACTACTGCTAATTATCTTAACATCATTTATTGCAAAATGCCAGTATTTTCCCAATCAATCTGAAACCCAGCCTCTGTTGTATACTAAATCCTCAGATGTGTTTGGATCTCTTTTGAGACAGTTTTCTCTGCCAATTTGTTCTCTATTCTTTGCCCTAGTCATCCTCTCATTTCTCACTCTCTGGCTATTTATGTCTCCCATATTTGTCTTGGTCAAGTTCCTTAAACTAAGCCTTTGGTATTTTATAATTGGGACTTTGTTTAACTTGTAACTTGGAAAGATGACAAAATTCAGTCTTCCTGTTCAAGAATAAAGTATGAGCTGGGTGTTGGTGGCTCATGCCCGTAATCCTAGCTACTTAGGAAGCTGATATAGGGAGGATTGAGGTTTGAGGCCCAGCCCAGGCAAATAGTTTGAGACCACATCTCCAAAATAACCAAGCAAGATGGACAAAGAGACTGGAGATGTGGCTCAAGCAGTAGAGTGCCTGCTTTCCAGGTGTGAAGCCCTGAGTTCAACTCTTAGTCCCATGAAAAAAAAAAGAACAAAGTATGTCTTTCTGGTTATTTTAGTATTTCCCAGTTGAGTATTAGAGTTTTCTTGGTGTAGGTGTTCCATATTATTTTATTTACTTTTAGGTATTTGATCATTTTGATTGCTGTTGTGAAATATATGATTTGTGGTACTAGGGTTTGAACTCAGGGCCTCACACTTGCTAGGCAGGTGTTCTATTTGAGCCATGCTTCCAGTCCTTTTTGCTTTTAGTTATTTTTCATAGAGGATATCGCTGTTGCTCAGGGCGGGTATACCACCATGTCTGGCTTGCTCATTGAGATAGAGTTCTTGCTAACTTTTTGCCCAGACTGGCAAGTAGCTAGTATTATAGACATGAGCCACTACACTGGGTTAGTCTATGAACTCATTAGTCACTTAACTAAATTATCTACTTCTAAATTATTTCTCAGCTGATTTGGGGTTTTTAGATTTACAATCATATCAGCTGAAAGAAATATGCTTTGCCTCTTCAAAAAATTAAAAATTTCTTTTTCATATATATGTGTATATATATACATATGTATTTATAGACACACATACATACATATATATATACATACATACATATATATGTATATATATATGTATGTATGTATATATATATATATATAGAGAGAGAGAGAGAGAGAGAGAGAGAGAGAGAGAGAGAGAGACACACACACACACAGGATCTCACTATGTAGCCCAGCTAGCCTTGAACTTGAGATTCTCTTGCCTCTGCCTCCTGAGTGTTGGAATTACACATGCATGCCACCATGCCTGGCTTCTTTTTCCTACTTGTGGTTCCAGAAAACTACTGAGTAATAGTGTTGGTAGTGGGCATCCTTTTTCTCCCTTGTTTTAATAGGAACACTTCATATATTTAATTAAAGATGATGCTGACTTTTGGGTTGAGAGGTTTTATGTTTTATGTCAATGAATATTCCTATTTTTCGGGTCTGTCCTCTTTCTCCTTTTTGAAAATCAGAAATGAATGTTGAATTTTGTCATTTTTTCTGAACCCTATTTGATCTAATCTCATAATTTTCTCCTTTTTTCTTCTAATAGATTATTTTAAGAGTCCTAATATTGAATCATCTGTTTCTTCATTGTGATATTTAAAAAATACTTTCCATGTTGTTAGATGTTTTTTGTTTGCTTGTTTGGTTTTTTTTGGTGGGACCGGGGCTTGAACTGTGCACTTTACAAAGTAGGCGCTCTACTGCTTGAGTCACACCTCCAGTCCTAAGAAATACGTTCTGTTATTACATTATTAAAATAATTTTTTTTCCATGCCAGAGATCCACCTCAGGGCCTAACCTATGATACAATACCCCTAGCCCATATACAAATATTTTGCTTTGGTACATATGAGATCTCTATTTTGTTTTTTCTGAAATTGATCAGATTTTAATATCAGTTTAAAACTGATTTTGAAAAAGTAGTTTTCTACTCTTTGAAAAAGTTTGAGTACTATCAGAATTGCATCCCATGAAGGTATGGAAGCATTTTAGCCTGTGAAAATGTCTGGGCCTGATTCATTTTTGGAAGATACTCCTTTGATACGTTCTCATTTTCTTCTAATATTTATATAGTGGTCTGTTTAGATTTGTCTGAACTGTTTTGGTAATTTATATTTTCCTGGCAAAACAAGTGTTCCATCAAATTATTCACACCTATTTGTGACCTACTCCTGCAGGTCCCTCCCTTCCCTCTACCAGTATTCATGATTACCTTCCCATTCTTTCTAATTTTAAATATGTCATATATTTGCCCTTTTTTCTGAATTACATTGCCCAGTGATTTATCAATTTAATAGGTGTTTCAAATGATAGCTTCTGTAATGATCAAATCTATCATTTGTATTTGCAAATTTACAAATTTCTGCTATAATCTTCATTGCTTCCTCTATTTCTTGTATGACGGGAAAGCCGAGGGTGGAGTAAAAAAAAAACCCACAGGGGAAAAAGCCAAATTTGGTTGTAAGGACTGAGTGTGGCGGGGGCACCGGGAGGTGGGGAGAAAAGACAAGGTGGCAAAGGACAAGTGAGTGGCATAGGGAATGACAGACACTTTCCCGAGGTGGCACCCCGGGGCCTCACTCCCCCAAGGCCATGCCGCCCTGCACCTGCCCGGCTAGGTCATCAGCTCTCTGCTCACCAATCTCAGGATCTTTAACAATCCGGTGGCTGAGAAGAAAAAAACCTTGCAGCCGTCACTGAATTTCTGCGGGACTCTGGCCCGGCCCTCAGCCCGCTCTTGGATGGCCGCGTCTGCTTGTATTTGCGTGGACAGGGCGCGTGGATATCCGGACTGCGCAGCGAGTGGGCGTGCTGTGGGAGTCCGACCCCACTTTTTGCGGCTCCCGGAAGCCCTTCGAATAGGCCGGGGTCTGGGACGCGCCGAATGCGGGGAACCGGTGGAGTTTACGGAGAGCGCTGACTGAGCAGTGGAGGACGAGGAACGCATCCCGTGGGGCCTCGCACGGGATGCATGGGGCCCTGGTTCTTCCAAGTGCCCGCTTTCCGAATTCATGGTGGGGGTGTCCTCAGGCCTGGATGTGTCAGGCAGGCCGGGCAGCTCTCCTGGGAACCAGCGTCGTGTCCAACGGCTGCTGGCAGCCCACACCACGTGCGCTGCGGGCGTGCGCCACGCTCTTGACGCCCCGAGGACAAGCCGAGCTGCCTTCCGGTAGCCTGGGAACTTAAAATTCTCGTGGAAGCGGGTTCCGGAGCCCTTCCTGGTGGGGCTGCTGCATTCTTCCCGCCACTGGCCCAGGAGCTGGGAAACCAGACCCCAGCCTTGCGCTCTGGCCTCCCTGGAAAGTTACAGTAAGGCTGCGTGCAGGAAATAAATCTCTGCCTCGAGCTCCCACATTGAGATTAAAATAAGAACTACAGAAAATATATGGAAGAATAATGAAATATGTTTAATATTTAGTATCAACTAAAAAGGCATATAAAATTACAAAACCTCGCTTTTGTCATGATCAGGCTTTTTCTGATAAGGACCACTTGGATTAAATAGAAGTTTCCGGTAAATAAGGGCGCCATCCGCAAGACAGCATGTTGCTGTCACGAGACCGAACACCTGGAAACAAAGACACACTGTCACTGCTCTGTCATTAACAGTTTCAAGTGGTCTGCCCACTGGATTCCTCACCTCTAGGGTGCTCAGATGGCTCCCTGTACTGCCACCCAATACTAAAATGGGTGGGTTTACAGGTCATTGCCAATTTTTCCTAATACCTGCCTACAAAAAGGGAAAAGATCATTTCAGTGAGCAGAAATAGTACCGAAATGGTGAGCACTCTGAAATACTTGCCTGCTTTCATCTGTTCACTTGCTCCTGCATGTATTCTTTTAAGCCCTACTGACCATATTTAGTTATCAATCATTTTCTATCTCCAGTGTTCAACTGTTTGATTGTCAGGCTCCACTGGAAAAAGGGCCAAAGCTGTGGTGGTGTACCTCTGCAATCCCAGCTACTCTGGGATACAGGAGGATTCCAGGTTCCAGGCCAGCCTGGGCAGAAGGGAGTGATCCTATCTGAGAAAAAATAAACTAAAAAGCAAAAGAGGTGGGGGTGTGGTTCAAGTAGTAAAGAGGACCTGATTTCAAGCCCCACTACTGCAAAGCAAAACAAAATAGACAAAGACTAACATCAGCTCAAGATTAAATTATGGGTACCAATAATGCAATAACAGGTTTGGAGAACTAGAGTGATAAAATGATCCTAAGTGAACCCTCATAGGCTGGGTGACATCCACTTAAGGGGAGGAATGCCAAACAGGGTTAAACAAAACTGAGGTAAAGGGAACAAAGCAGAACAAGAGGGGGCTTTTAGGTGTTCTAATGACTGTTGGAGAGCTGGTACTAGTCTGGAGAAGGCATTCCTCACCTGCCATTCAGTCTGTCATAGTACCACCACATAAAGCCTTCTATGCCATAGCCAGCCATCTTTGCTGGTGGAAGCATAGCAGCTGACAGTCTGCAAGAGACTGTGCAGTGCAGAGCCAGTTAGGTACAGGCCAGTTGGGGAGCTAAACTCCTTTTCTGTGTTTCAGTTTTATCAGGCTGCCAGCAATGCTGGAATCCTGGCTCCTACAGCCTCCTTTTCCACTTGGTCTCAAGCCACTGCCTCCTAGGTTCTGACCACACTGAACACCTCTACCAATCCTTCTATGACTGGCATTTCTGCACATTGCTGGTTCCTCCTCCAGGAACCTTTCCCTTTTTCTTCTTAGTCTCAACAAACTGCAAATCCACTGCCAGAGAGGGGTGGTGATTTCCTCTGTTCTGTGCTGGACAGCACTCTGTCAATCACATATAGCAGTTTGCACTCTCCTGTGTTAGGCTCGAAGCAACCTGAGGATAGGTAGGATAGGTAGGTAGACTCATGTTCTAGCCCAGTACTATCCAAAGGAATATGTGAATCACCAGTGTAAGCCATAATTAAAGATCTTCCAAGAGTCACATTCAAATGTAAAACAAAAAGTGAAACTGATTTTAATATTTTGTTTAGTATGTCCAAAATATTATCACTTAACATGTCATTAATGTTATGTGTATTTTATGCTTACAGCTGATCTCAATTTACACCAGCCACATTTCCAGTGTTCAGTAGCTACATATGGCTGGTGGCTACTGGACTGAACAGCATAGCTATCCACTTGTCAGTACTTAATACACGAATGAATAAATAAGTTAGTGAACGTAAATTCTATGACTGGTCCCTCTTCGTAGCAAACAGGGATAAAACTGTGTAAAAATAACTGGGGGAGACTGTTGCTAGCATCTCCTTTCTAGAATAATTCTAATTCCTCATGAGTTTGCTTAGTTCTTAAAGGAGATGAAAACTGTAGATTCTGACATACTTGGTTGGGAGTGGTTAACTCTCCTGAGTGGCCCATATTATGAAAGAACAAGGAAGCAGGAGGGAAGAACTTTCTAATTCAATTCTACAAATCAGAATCTAGAAAAGTCAAATGATTTTGAACCTTGGAAGAATATCACATGGAAGTATAATTAAGTTACTTGACTCTCATTTTGGCTGGCTTCCCAAGATAAAGTCCAATTGCGTTGATTTGCTTCTCTTCAAGAAGTGTTCAAAATAATCATTTAGTTGCAAGGCTTCCTACCATATTCCCTTATCATAAGGCCCTCTATTATATGCCACTTGAAGAACTATCAGAACATTCTGTTTCAGCTTAACAAGGAACATGTATCCTCTTCTTTAAAAGGGAGAACTATGCACTCATCTATCATGTTTGCCTTTTGCTTGACATAAGGTTTCACAGAGCTAAGTGTTGTAACTGATCCTAGCAGCTTTTCTCAGTCTGGTGTAGCCCTATATACCTATAAGAAATATGTAGAAACCTCCTTATTTGACTAACTCCAGTTCTAGTATGAAATCATGTTCCTTCCTTTCAATCAGGGCACACTTTTACTCATATAAAACATTAAGTTAGGTACCGTATATTGGCCCAGGAGCTCCAAGGATGAATATCGAATAAATGCATTCTGATCAAACCTGAGGAAACTAGAAAGACCTCTACTTACCCCTCCAAGGACTGTGAACGTTGTGGTTTCTGGAATCAGTGCCAGTATAGATATAATGACCATGAATAACGTTGTTACCATTGAGTTGATAATGTCCTGAAAACACAGAATAGGCAGGCAGTTCACGTGAAGGCCAGCAAGCGACAGGGATGTAGGCCAGTTGTGGAGTGCTTTTCTAGCATGTGCAAGGCCCTAGGTTTGATCCCCAGTAACAATTAAAAAAAATGCAACAGACAACAGGCAATGCTTCAAATAAAGGGCTAGCTCTCCAAAGATTTTGAAAGCTCCATTTTATTAAATTTATTTAGCATATTATCTTTAAGGAAACCAAAATGCCAAAGTAAAAAGATACCTATATAGTTGTTCTAATAATCTACAGTGACATCTAGTGTTTCCCTTTACCCAGTCACTTAACTACTTAAACATTTCTTTCTTTATTTAACATAAATGTAGTTAGAGGGAGAACTCATCTGGTTAGGAAAGAAAGTAGACAATGTATTTTGTAGGTTTAGGATGGAACGGGTACCCTGGGAAGTCAGAACACTCATTTTAAATAAGGTAAGAGAAAATGTGGATTAGTCTATACTGTATGTCAAACAACTTTATGTTACTAAAATACAGTTAACAAAACTGAAAATGGTGCATATTTCAGAGATAGTAGTAATTTTCAGGATAAACCCTACATATGTCTATATGCAATGGCTGAGCTATTATGTTATTCCTGATTAGATAGCACATTCATTTAATAATTTTCCTAAGTGAAGCATTTTCACTCTGAACTGTGGCTTTTAGAGGTGCAATTTACATTTTTGAATGAATGTTTGGCATGGGGAAATAAATTGTCTTTATTCTGGATGGTTTATGTATGTTTGCAGTTAAGTAGGCAGGAAGGAATTAACAGAAATACTAAACTTTGAAATGCTGATAAATTAGAGTAGCTATTAAAAAGAAAGTAGGAAGAGATTTTATGGGAGGTAGGAGATTAGACATATTTTAGGAAGGAAAAAAGTTCCCATTTGCAGGAGATACTGAGACTGGCTGCCCTGTGTTAACCTCCTCTGTGCTGGGTATTTTGCTCTGCCTCAAGGCAACAGACCACACCACTATTTTAAACTAGGCAGTCCTGTCTCCAGTGAGAAATTTGGGCTTTAAGCAGCTTTGGATAAAAGTGTGTTCTAGGAAGTGCAGAGAACCATCAGCCAAAAATGATGTGTCTGTCCCAGAACATCAGTGATCCTTATATTAAAAACTAAACATCAATATGCCATGAAGCAGAATGCAAACTTAAATTACAAAAATGGAGGTTTCACAGAACCTTTGAGCCTCAAAGCCCTAGGCTGGCTCACTCTGTGTGTTGCATGTCATGGGGCACTTGAGGGTACAGGTTATGTCAGGGACTACAACTCTGGAACAATCACACGAATAACAAATCTGAGTGCAGCAGGCCAAGTCTTCTAAGCAGTAAGGACAGTGACCATCACACACAAGTCCTTACACGTTACCTTTCTCCTACCTACAGATTAACTGCAATCTTCAGCCACTCGTGCACTTATATGCAGGAAAAGAGACCCTGGCAACTTGTCTAGCTGTGCTTTGCTCCCACGCTACCCAGCAGGGATCTTGTTCTGCTCATTACCTTTCTTTGTCCCTGACCACATTTCCTCAACTTAGTGACAGCCTCTCTGGATAGAGCTGTCTCTTTCCTTCCCTGCTCAGGGAATTTTTATACAATTTTCTTATTACCTGTCACTCAAGGCAAACCACTCTGGAAAAGGCCACCAGAGGCCTCTCTACAAACACAACCAATGACTATATATGTTTCTCTGTACTTTTCTTTCTTTATATGACATTACTCACTGCTCTTTTCTTCTTGAAATGCTCTCCTGTGTGGCCTCTGTGACACCGGTTTCCCTTGGGTCTCCTCCTGCCTTTCTATAACCACTCCTCTTTCTCATCGTAGCTGTTGGTGTTTCTGTTTTATCTTCATCTCTCTCTCTCTCTACCCTCTTTCCAGGTCCTTCTGGCTAATCTGAGCTCAGTAGCCATCATCGGGTGAGGACTTCCAAACCACAGCTCCCTCTAAGCTTCAAACCTGTATGGAACATTTCCACCTGAATATCCCACAAGCAACAAAACTTAATTATTTCGTAAACTGATCTCATTGCATTCTGCACTCCACACCCTTCCTAAACCTATTCTTCTTACTTCAGTATCCTCCCAAGAAAGTTATTCAGACAGCAGGTATTCTCGCTTGTCATCCAGTCCCAGTAATTCTACCTTTCTTTCCAGGTACAGTTATAACCATAGATCATGACTTTACCATTTTCATGTCTGGATTATGATAACAGAATTTTGTTGTTTTGTTTGTTTTGAGAACACAGTCTTGCTATGTAGCCAACCCTGGGCTTGAAGTCATGATCCTCCTGCCTCAGTCTCCCAGTGCAGGGATTACAGATGTGGGCACCACACCCAGCTATTATAACAGACAAATAAGTGGTCTCAGAACCACCTCAAGTTTTTTTTCTCTTTGACCATTATAGACACTGCTGCCAGCAATTTCCTAAGTTGTAAGTTTATCATGTCACTCCCCTGCTTAAAACCTCCCAAAGCTCCCACCAGCATTTGGTTTATTAAAGCCCAGGACACACAAACCCTTGCATGCTCTGACTTGCTGCTGCCTAAAGACTCCACTCCTATTCCTTTTCTTGTCCACAACTCAATACTCCAGCCATTTGGAGACCCCTGCAGTCATGCTGTACCTCCACCTGGACACTCATGGTGCTGCTTCCTCTACCTAGAAAGCCCTTTCTCTTCTATCAGTCAGCTAACGACTTCTCATCCTTCAGCCCTCGGTGGGCAGTTTTCCTTCACAAGCCTATTGTGATTTTGTCCCCTTTCCTGTGGATTTTATTTATTTACTTTTTGTAAGTACTGGTGTTTGAACTCAGGGCTTTGCACTTACTAAGCTGATGCTCTGCTACGTGAGCCACACCTCCAGCACATTCCCTTTTCTGGCTGGGTTGCTTTCACACCATCCTGCGTGTACATTTACCAAGCACCTAGTCAGTGAATTCTCATCTGTCTTGCTTTCTGGGTACATTTAAAGCTTCTCAGGTGCAAGATTTGTGTTTTATATTATCAAAGAGCAGATTACAAAATCTGAGATTAGCAGATATTTATTGAATAATTCATTAGATCAAGATCAAAGAGGAATCTGGGACTCAAAGTGGAGGAATAATTTAATTACTCATATAGCACAATTTTTAAGAAATTGCAGGATTGCCTAAGTTTGATCCTTAAGAGATCTGGAGACCATTCCTTTCAGTGAGCTACACAGAGACCACTCCTTCTCAGTATATTCTGTTAAACTTGGTGCTCCAGTTTTATTACTAAGTACACTTAAGAAGCTCCAGAGAATTATTAAAGTTTGGATAAAAGGGTTAAATGTGTTAGTTTCATTAAAACACTGAAGAAGGTGAAGAGCAACTATACCACCATTTCTTGAGTATAAGATCAAGAGAATGTGGACCAGTGTTTATTGTCTCCTTGAAGAAATCCTTAGAAAAATCTGGTTTAGCTCTTTCTGCCTCTAAGTGAGGGCCAGCTAAGGAAGACCTTGCAATCTCTTTTCCTAGACCTTGTTTTAATCTGGTCCAGCTCTGAAGTGTAGCTGAAGTAGGAATTTTGAGAGGTACTGTGAAGGTCCTCTGTTTCCCAGTGTTCCCCCTTTAAGGCTTTTTTTAGCTTATGATTAGCCTGAAATGCTTATCACTGGTCCCCAAAGATGGCTATGCTTATGGTTTGAGAATACCTCTAAAGTCCTCTGTCCTTAATAGGAGTTATCGACTTGGATATAAACACTTTGGAATCCAAGAGGATGAGATAAATGATGCAGAGGAAGACAGGGGAGCTACTAGTCAAAAGAGGGGAAGAACAGTGGGGGACCCAAGGGGGAACACCTTGAAAGAGGACAAAGAGGTGAAGTCTATCATAGCTTTTTGCTAGAACCAGCTTCCAGTCCAGACTAAAGATTCACATATTCCTTAACTAATATCATTAATCTACCCAGTTCGACAGTTTTCTGAGCCACTTGGGCATGTCACTGGGTAGTTACTTATAATGCTAAGAGTCTGGCAAGTGAAAGTATATATGCTACCAAATGAGGCTCAAAAAGACAGGTTAAAATTATTTAGCACTAATAACTGCAGACATTTTCAACTAAGACACCATTGTACTTCTTTTAGCTTACCCAATTAGTTTGATTCTCATTTAGTGATCAGGGACATACAAGGACAGATACTAGTGTCCCTCCATCTTTATCTGAGGTCATATCAGTATGTGTGTAAAAAGGAGATAAAGACTAAGAATGTTATATAATTTTATTAACATGATCTTAAATTTAAATTTCTTTAGAAGAGACTAAAGAGAATTCTAACAGAAAGGCCAGTCACACTGGTTGAAAGATGGAGTGCATTATGTTCTGGGGCTGCCCTGGATCCCTCAGAACCTCCCCCAAGGACAATACAGAACACCATAGCCTGTCTGGCTTGCTAGGTGAGGCCCTGAGTTCAAACCTCAGTAATGCAAAAACAAAAAACAAAATTAAAAAATCCCCCAAACCAACCAACTAAACAAAACCAGAACACGTTAGTAATGAGTAGAGTTCCCCCTTCTTAAACCTATCAGAGACCACCTTAAAGTTTTTTTTTTTCCAGTCTTCAAACACAACCTTAAAGGTTTAAGAGGACCAAAGAAACCAGTATTTGTAGCTCCTCAAGAGGTGGAGCTTGGGAGGGCGGGAGGGTGGACCCTCATCTCAAGCAATAAAAAGCTGGGTGTGGGGTGTGCACCTGTCAGCCCAGTTGCATGGGGAGCACAAATAGGAGGATGTGGTTCTGGTTGTCCTGGGCATAAATGTGAGGCCCTATTGGAATAAGAAGCTAAAGCAAAAGGGTCAAGGTTGTTGGTTGAGTGGCAGAGTGCCTACCTAGCAAGTGTGAGGCCCTGAGTTCAGGGCTGAGTACATACTCCCACCCCCCAAACAAAAGAGAACCAAGGAATAAAGTTTACTAAAATGTCTCACTACAATAGGAAAACACAGTTAAATTCTGATGAAACCGAATACTTACAAGCAAAGGCCAAAATAACCATTTCATCAAGCGATCAAGTCTGACTATATATAAAATTATGAAAAACAAAACAACTGCGACTTCAAATCCAGTAATAACAATGTATGGTTCAGGAGCTTGTGCCATGATAAAAAAGGTCATAGATGTCACAGTTACTGCCTAGAAGAAAAACAAACACGATTTAGTCAGTGATTACTAAATATAAGCTTGAGCTGCAAAAATGAACATTTTAATTAATTAATTAATTTTTTTGTGGTACTGGAAATCAAAACCAGGGTCCTGTGCATGCTAAGCAAGTGCCAAACCACTGAGATATCTCCCTAATCTCAAAACGATCATTTCTAAAACAACTAAAGAAATGTGTGGGTTTCTTTGCCATACACACATAAGAAAAACATGACTAAATGTTTATTGACTTCTCTTTGTGTTTTAGGGGACTAGTATCTTTCTTTGAAATGCAACTAATTATTCCACTTGTACTTGTGATACTAGCCTTTCCCATATCTCTTCTCTGATCTTTTACCCATCAAAGATCCTTCCTCTCACACCTTTAATCTGTCCTCCTCGAGTTCCTTTCTTCATCATCCTATAAATATAACTAAGTTGTCTCTTACACACGCACATACCCCTTTCCTTTCATCCTGCTCCCCACAGAAAACACTGTTCTGTTTTCTATTTCTTGTAATACATTTTTAAAGTCTGTCTATAATTCCACACCATCTTTTTATCATTCCTTAAATCTTTTTTTCTGGGACTAGGGATTCCTTAACTCTTAGCAAACTGGGATCTACTGTCAAACTTAGGTCTAATGCTGCCATGAAAAATACTTGTGGGGGGGGGAAGAGTGTAGTTTAAAACACATTGTAAAAGAAAAATTCTTATGTTAATAGCTTTATTACTAAACATACATTTTTATATAATTCCTCTTATTAAATGCAATGATGTTAGAATTAAGGATATTTTATAGCCTCAAAAAAAATCAAATACCTAGGTGTAAACCTAACAAAAGATGTGAAAGACCTCTACAAGGAAAACTATACACTTCTGAAGAAAGAGATTGAGGAAGACTATAGAAAGTGGAGAGATCTCCCATGCTCATGGATTGGTAGAATCAACATAGTAAAAATGTCTATACTCCCAAAAGTAATCTACATGTTTAATGCAATTCCCATCAAAATTCCAATGACATTCATCAAAGAGATTGAAAAATCTACTGTTAAATTTATATGGAAACACAAGAGGCCACGAATAGCCAAGGCAATACTCAGTCAAAAGAACAATGCAGGAGGTATCACAATACCTGACTTCAAACTATATTACAAAGCAATAATAATAAAAACAGCATGGTACTAGCACAAAAACAGACATGAAGACCAGTGGAACAGAATAGAGGATCCAGATATGAAGCCACACAACTATAAGCAACTTATCTTTGACAAAGGAGCTAAAAATATACGATGGAGAAATAGCAGCCTCTTCAACAAAAACTGCTGGGAAAACTGGTTAGCAGTCTGCAAAAAACTGAAACTAGATCCATGTATATCACCCTATACCAAGATTAACTCAAAATGGATCAAGGATCTTAATATCAGACCCCAAACTCTTAAGTTGATACAAGAAAGAGTAGGAAATACTCTGGAGTTAGTAGGTATAGGTAAGAACTTTCTCAATGAAACCCCAGCAGCACAGCAACTAAGAGATAGCATAGATAAATGGGACCTCATAAAACTAAAAAGCTTCTGTTCATCAAAAGAAATGGTCTCTAAACTGAAGAGAACACCCACAGAGTGGGAGAAAATATTTGCCAACTATACATCAGACAAAGGACTGATAACCAGAATATACAGGGAACTTAAAAAACTAAATTCTCCCAAAACTAATGAACCAATAAAGAAATGGGCAGGTGAACTAAACAGAACTTTCTCAAAAGAAGAAATTCAAATGGCCAGAAAACACATGAAAAAATGCTCACCATCTCTAGCAATAAAGGAAATGCAAATTAAAACCACACTAAGATTCCACCTCACCCCTGTTAGAATAGCCATCATCAGCAACACCACCAACAACAGGTGTTGGCGAGGATGCGGGGAAAAAGGAACCCTCTTACACTGTTGGTGGGAATGTAGACTAGTACAACCACTCTGGAAAAAATTTGGAGGCTACTTAAAAAGCTGGACATCGATCTACCATTTGATCCAGCAATACCACTCTTGGGGATATACCCAAAAGACAGTTACTCCAGAGGCACCTGCACATCCATGTTTATTGCGGCACTATTCACAATAGCCAAGTTATGGAAACAGCCAAGATGCCCCAGCACTGACGAATGGATTAAGAAAATGTGGTATCTATACACAATGGAATTTTATGCAGCCATGAAGAAGAACGAAATGTTATCATTCGCTGGTAAATGGATGGAATTGGAGAACATCATTCTGAGTGAGGTTAGCCTGGCCAAAAGACCAAAAATCGTATGTTCTCCCTCATATGTGGACATTAGATCAAGGGCAAACACAACAAGGGGATTGGACTATGAGCACATGATAAAAGCGAGAGCACACAAGGGAGGGTGAGGATAGGTAAGACACCTAAAAAACTAGCTAGCATTTGTTGCCCTTAATGCAGAGAAACTAAAGCAGATACCTTAAAGCAACTGAGGCCAATAGGAAAAGGAGACCAGGAACTAGAGAAAAGGTTAGATTAAAAAGAATTAACCTAGAAGGTAACACCCACGCACAGGAAATCAATGTGAGTCAATGCCCTGTATAGCTATCCTTATCTCAACCAGCAAAACCCCTTGTTCCTTCCTATTATTGCTTATACTCTCTCTACAACAAAATTAGAGATAAGGGCAAAATAGTTTCTGCTGGGTATTGAGGGGGAGCGGGAGGGGTGAGTGGGTGGTAAGGGAGGGGTTGGGGGCAGGGGGGAGAAATAAACCAAGCCTTGTATGCACATATGAATAATAAAAGAAAAATGAAAAAAAAAAAGAATTAAGGATATTTTAAATGGAAAAAATACTCTAAAGATAATGAACCTAATCCACTTTCTTCATTTCCAAAGGAAAATACAGAACATGGCAATACACAGAATAAAGAGTTGTGAAGGAAAAAAAATGAGTCCCAAAGAGTTCTATGAATATCATGATGAGATCTGTGGCTCATGCTTATAATCCTAGCAAGTGGGGAGGCTAAGGTTGGGAGGATTGAGGCTCGAGGCTAACTTGGGCAAATAGTTTGTGAGACTACACCTACAAAATAATCAGAGCAAAATGGACTGGAGGTATGGCTCAAGTGGTATAGTGCCTGCTTTGCAAGCATGAAGTCCTGAGTTCAAATCTGTCCCACCAAAAAAATACAGCTTCATTCCAAGTTTGTGTTCTAGGTAAATGGTTTAGTTGAGTCTTACCCTGGCTAGATTTTTATAAATACCTTCCAATTAAAATATTCCCTTTAACTTTAAATCTATACAGGTTTATTCATAACTTTTGATTACTTTATTAGTATAAAAATATCTAACCTTTGAACTTCCAAATTAGTCAGTTTGACAACCAAAAACTATCTACTAAATAACTTCATTCCTTATAATGACAGTAGCAATATGTTACCTCAAACCACTTCATTTAGTGTACTGGACCAAGGTCTTAAGGTCATGGATTGTGAAATAGAGGCTCACTTTTTCAGGGTCCCTCCTCTGTAACCTTTCTGCATCATGGTAATTGGTATTGGTGATGACTTCAATGTCTTAAAATTTCCTGTGATTTTTGTTCCTAGTTACCTTTTAACATCGCAAACATTTCTTGAAACACTGTACAGACACCGATTTTGTTAACATCAATGATTTCAGAATGAACATTTTCAATTCTTATCCTACTGGACCCCTATGACTTACTTGTCATTGGCTGTCCTTCCCCTGCTTCTCTCCCCTTTGGCTCTCATGTTGTATTTCCTAGTTCTTATACCTCTGTAACTGTTCTCTTTTCGTGGGCTCCTCTCCTTTTACCTACTCCTTTAGAATGCTGAATTCTCCTGGATTCTGTCCATATCCTGCTCAATGAATCTGGGTCTCTATCCCAGGTCTAACATCCACAATATACACCTGAATAGCTATTTGGGAACCCCTAACTGGATAACCCATAAGAATTTCAAATTCACCAAAACTAAGCTCAGGTCCAAAACTGAACTGAGTTTTATCCCTTCCTACTCTATTCACCACCCCAATCGGTGCTACTACAATGTATGTTGTCACCCATGTTAGGAACCCCAGACCATAGCTCCCACTCATTTCTCACAACTACTGAATAATGCCTAAAGATGCTTGGCTCTCCCTCCTCTTCACCCCTACGACGACTGCTCTTTGGTATCTTTTCCCATGAACTGCTATGGCAAAGATACTAGAGTGAAATTTCTAAAATGCAAATTTGTTTACATAGTTCTTTCTCTTTTTAAAGTCCTCCAATAGCTCTCCATGGTCTTTAGAATAAAGCCTCCCTCTACACATACTCCAGGTCTTTTTTGGTTCCGTTCCTATCTACTTCTCTAGCAAAGACTTGCCTCAGTTTAATCCATGGTATCATTTCAATGTTTACTTCTTGGTCCTCATTTTACTTGAATTATCATCAGATTTGCCTCTTGAGTCCCTTAAGAGAGTTTCTTCATTTAATCTCCAGTATATATCAAACTCTTGACTTGTCCTACCTCCTTAATTGTTCCATATCGTTCTTTTTGGCTAATTCCTCCTCTTCTCCCTGACCTTTTAATGTTGAATTGTTCCAGGGCTTAATCCACATTGTTCTTTGCTCTATCTACACTTCTCTCCTGATGGCCTCTTCAGTCTTGTGCTTTAAATATTTATATTTGTGAAACATGACCTCTCTAAAAAAATCCAGCTTTGTCTGTTCCAACTTCTTACTTAATACTGACACCTGGATGTCTAATAGGTATCTCTACTTTAACACCAAAACCTCAAATTGAACTTCTGGCCTTCCTTTCATATTTGCTTTATCTGTAGGCTTTCTGATCTCAATGGATGGCAATTCTGTACTTATAGTTGCTTAGGAAAAACAAGCTTTTGGAGTCATCTTGACTCCTCTTTTTCTCTTATCTCACATATGTTTCATTAGCAAATTTTGTTGGTGCCACTTTCAAAACACAGGTGGTGCATCACTGACCTAAAAATCTGAAATGCTCCAAAATTCAAAACTTTTTTTTTTGGTGGGACTAGGCTTTGAACTCAGGGCTTTGCACTTGCAAAGCAGGTGCTTTGTTACTTCAGCCACACCTCCAGTCTATTTTGCTCTGGCTATTCTGGAGATGGGGGTCTCAAACTATTTGCCCAAGCTTGCCTCCAACCTTGATCCTCCCCATCTCAGCCTCCCAAGTAGCTAGGATTACAGGTGTGAGCCACCAGCACCCTGCTCAAAATTTAAAACTTTCTGAGTGCTAACATGACATCAAAAGAGGAAAATTCCACACTTGACTTAGATGGTTTATGGTGTACAATCTTTGCTTCATGCACAAAATTATTTAAAATACTGCATAAAATTACCTTTTGTTATGTGCATGAGATATATATAAAACATAAATGAATTTTGTGTTTAGATTTGGGTTATGTTCTCAAGATATATCACTGGTATATGCAAATATAAAAATCTAAACCACTTCCAGTCCCAAGCATTTTGGATAAGGGATGTTCAACCTATGTATTTCAAATGTTAACTACTTCTTATTACCGGCTCTGCTATCACCAACCACTAGGTGGCGGGATTGAGCCATCATCTCTTGCTCAGAACTTTGTCACAGCTCTAACATGCCTCCTTGGTTGTACCTCTGCCCCAGTCTTCTCCTGTCCCGCCCCACCAATCTCCTTACTATCAACATGGCAGTCAGTGGATGTACTTAAAAAAAAAAGTCAGATTATATACTTTTTAAAACCTTCATCTCCACCTAGCTCCCTTACCCACTCCATGTCAGTGAGTGGTTTCCTTGCTCTGTCTTGACCCTTTAGGCACAGTCCTCTGTAGAGCCATTATTGGACTTTCCTCCGCCTTAAACAATCTTCCTCTACAAATTCTCACAACTTACTCCCTCACCCCTGACTAAATGGTTGAATTCTCTGAGTCAGGGACTTTTGCCTTGGTTCCTCTTTGTCGTTCCAGGGATTGGACCACACTAAATATTCAGATCATTCGTTTAAGGAAGTAATGTCAAAACTAAACTTTTTTCATAAAACCTTGTTCCTCTTCTAGGGTTCCAGAGCTTTCGTACGTAACAAAAAACTCCAGACCCACTTCCCTGATTGTTTATCTATTCCTAAACAAACTCCAGAACACTTTTTTGTACATTTCTCACACACATCCTAATCTGTATTACGTTATAATTACTTCTCAGAGTGACAGACTTTGAGTGTGGGAAGGGACTTACATGCAGTTTGTTTTACTCACCCACCAGAAGTCTGACTATCCTTTACACCATCCTCACAAGAGCTCATCTGCACTTGTCACCTTTGTCACCTGGGATGTACTGCCTTCCCAAAAGGCATTTACTTTCCAGACCTTTCCCAATACAAAACTCTTCCTCCTATTATGTGGAAATGTTTTCCTACCACTGTGCCCAATTTCAACCTCCTCTTCCACACGTCAGCTCTTCAAAACCTTTTTCCTTCCCCTTGAGTTTTCTTGAATTCCTTCAACTATGATAGCTTCTACTCTAACTTGCCAGGTCACTGCCCTCCAAATAATGACCCACTTTCTCTAAACCTCTGTTCAGAGATGACTTAAATGCTTCTGTTAAGTCTGAAGTCCTACAAAGGGCAGTTCCCTCTTTGTCCTTGCTCTGGACTGTATCAGCCTTAAGCACCATCCCATCAAGTGTGTGACTTTCAGTGACCATCGCATCCACCTATAAATAAACATATATTTAAATCTCGCTGGCTTCTGAGTAGCACAAGTGCAGCAGCCTCACTTGGTGGTAGGTAACCTGGACACAGGCTCGCGGGTTCAAGTCAAGGTCATTCAGGAAGACCTGCTGGTTTTGTTAAATCCTCTGAAGGGCAGGGCAATGTCCCAGGGTGCTCCTTCATTCCCCAGGGGGCAGAGCGACACGCCAGGCTGCCGGGAAGACGTCTGATCAAAGCAAGGTTGACAGATAAAAGCATGGCCACGTCTCACCGCTTGGCCACCGCCCTGGAACCCGCCCAGGCCCTCACCAGCCGCAGCAACTTCACATGGCCTTTCACACTGAAGCAGAAGGGGCGATGTTTTCCTTTCAGCTGTAGCTTCTCCATCTCGCCCACAGACCCAACAGCCGCGCTTGACTTTCAACCCTTCCTCTCCGAGAATCGTCACCGTCCCAGCGCGCGGACACCACAACCACCGCGGCCGCGGGCTGTCGCGGCTCTGGGCTGCGCGTCCTCGCGCGTACGCGCACGGCCCCGCGGCTCCGCCGGGTGCGCATGCGCGGGCGCGAGCCCCGGCCATCTGCCCCGGCCATGGCTCCTGTCGCTTTTGCCTGTAGTACAAACGCAGACCTAAACCCGGGCCACGCAGGTCCAACCTGCCCCACCGCGCCTGTACTGATGACCACGGCGCTAACTGCTCTCCCCAGTAGCTTTCCTGTCGGGAAACACTTGCAGGATTGGGGTAGGGAACAGTGGACTGGCTAGGCAGGGAGGCCCAGGAAAGGCAGCCCTGTCCTTCCCAGACCTTGAGCATCTCAAATGCCACCTCTTTAGAGAGGATTTTCCTTGGTCACCCCGTCTAGAGTAGCCACTGTCACTCTCTTCTCACCTTTACCCCTAGCTGAGATACATCATAAGAATATGAATTCCACAGGGGAAAAGATCGATTAATGGGTACTAAGTTACAGTTAAGAGAAAGAAGTTCTGGTGTTTTATTGCACAGTATGGTTGACTATAGAGAATGATAACGTACTGTTTTACTTAAAAATAAAAAGCTAGATGTATGGACACAAAAATAGACATGAAGACCAATGGATTAGAATAGAAGACCCGGACATAAACTCATGCAGCTACAGCCAACTGATTTTTTACAAGAGAGCCCAAAGCACATGATGGAGGAAAAACACCCTCTTCAACAAATGTTGCTGGGAAAACTGGATATCCATGTGTAGAAGACTGAAACTAGATCCCTGTCTCTCACACTGTGCCAATATCAGCTCAAAATGGATCAAAGACCTCAATAGAAGGTCTGAAACTTTGAAACAACTACAGGAAGTAGTAGGAAATACACTGGAACATACAGGCATATGACTTCCTAAATAGAACTCCAGTGGCTCAGCGTCAAAGAGAAATAATTAACAAATGGGACTGCATCAAACCAAAAAGCTTCTGCACAGCAAAAGAAACAGTCACTAAAGAGAGTGATCACAGAATGGGAGAAAAATCTTTGCTAGCTATTCATCCGATAAGGGCCTAATATCCAGAATCTGCAGGGAATTCAAAAAACACAACCCCAATGAATTAACATCCCAATAAAGAAATGGGCACATGAATTGAATAGGAAATTTCGAAGGAAGAGGTACAAATGGTCAATAAAAACATGAACTGTTCAACTTCCCTGGCTATTAAAGAAATACAAATCAAAACTACACTAAGATTTCATCTCACCACAGTTAGAATGGCCATCTTCAAGAGCAAAAGCAACAAATTCTAGCAAGGATGTCAAAACAGGAACTCTTAAACACCATCTGTTGGAGGGATTGCAAATTAATACAATCATTATGGAAAGCAGTATGGAGATTCCTCAAAAAGCTAAACCTAGAACTGCCATATGATCCAGTGATACCTCTCCTGGGCATCTACCCAAAGGAACGTAAATTAGGATACAATAGAGACACTTGCACACAGGTGTTTATTGCTGTACTGTTTATAATAGCCAAGCTATGGAAACACCCCAGATGCCCTAAAACTGATGAATGAAGAAAATGTAGTGCAGTTTTACTCAGCCATAAGGAAGAATGACACCATGTGGTCTGAATGTAAATGAATGCAATTGGAAGACATCATGTTAAGTGAAGTAAGCCAGGTTCAGAAAGACAAAGGCCACATGTTTTCTCTCATATGTGGAAGATAGATCCAAAAGATAAGCATATACACAAAAACAAACATGACCATATACAAACATGTGTGTAATAGTGGAACTCCTTTATGGAATTTGGGGAAGGAGGGAAAGGAAAAGGTAGAGAATATAATGTTAAGTATTGAAAGCTGTTGAATAATGCGGGGTGGGAGAGAAGGAGTAAGGGAGAGTAATGGAAGGGGCTGAATGGACCAAAGTAAAGTATATTCACAGCAGGGATACATTAAGAAACCTTTGAACATTGACTTAGAAATTAGTAACGAAAGATAGGACTGTAAAGTAGGTACAGTGTGTGTGGGGTACTTGTGGGAAGGAGGAGGGTGAACGAAGGAGATTATGGTGAGGGAATATAGTTGATGAATTTCTATTCCTTATATGAACTAGAACAATGAAACCTGTTGCAATTGCTTTAAGTGGGGTGTGGAGGGGGTTGAGCAGGAGAGTGGTGGGAGTGATCTAACCAATGTACAATATAAGCCCATTTGGAATTGTCACAATGAATCCCCACTGCACAACGAATATATCCCAATAAAAAAAATTTTAAAAACCAACAAAATAAAAAGCTAGGAGTTTGAATGTTTTCATCACAAAGAAATGATGCTTGAGGCAATAGATTTACCCTGGTTTGAACAAAACATGTATGCATGTACTAAACATTGAATGGAACCCTGAAATTACATTTAATTTTTTACATATCAGATTTTTTAAAAGAATGTAAATTCCACAAAGTAAGGGTTCTTCTGTCTCCATGGTCTGGCACTTAGTTACAGTACATGCATAGCCTGAACTAAAGGACCTTGTACTAGGGCTTTGTGCAGTGTAGGTGTGTGATGTTTGCTTCCCACTGGTGCTAGTTTGTCAGTAGGTCGAACAGCCCGCATCCTTTCAGATGCTTGAATTCAGTTTGTGTTTTTTACAAGTGTGCCAATGAAGCCAGCGCTGCACCATCTTGGAGTGTTTCTTTTTAGAGATCAGAAGTATATGTTGCTCCTTTTATGTGATTTACTTATATGACTTAAGCCTTGGATAATTTGGCCACCAATCCAGTCCATTTGTATCCTGCCCAGTCTCAGCAACAGTTCATTTCATCTGACGAATCTGATCAGCAGTTATTTCCAACAACCTCAACCTGAGTCACTTACAAAATGTTGACCTTAATTCTGGTTTATTTACAGAGAGCACATTTGCTTTTGCCTAGGTGCATGGCAGATAAGCAGGAAACACAGGATGGGGTGGTGGTTTTCAGTAACAGATCTAGAGGTTTAGACTGAAAATGACTTCCTTCCTCCTGTCCAGGAGTGACTGCCAGCACCTTGAACTTCTGATAGGAGAGGCCGGAAACTTCTACCAATACACTGGAACTGTCCATAGACTCAAGAGTGGCAACAGCTAGTTACTGGGTCTGGGTCGGTTGAATGTATAGTAATTCATCTACCTTCAATCTGAGCTGAATTTTTACTGCCTGATTATTGATGGGACTTGGGCATCTGCCCTATCCTTATTTGTCCATCCAGTTGGAATATTGGTTGTGCCTTCCTGAGGGATCTAGCACATTTAGAGTGCAGACCCAAGCACTTGGACCACACATTTTATTTTAGTGGGGCTGGGGTTTGAACTCAGGGCTTCAGGCTTGCTAGGCAGGCGCTGTACTACTTGAGTCACTATGCCAGCTCTTTTTTGGTTTGAGGTTTTTTTTTTTTTTTTTTTTTGGCTGTATTGGGGTTTGAACTCAGGGCCTTGTGCTTTCTAGGCAGAAGCTCTACCACCTGGGCCAAGTCCTCAGTCTGGGTTGAGTATTTTAGAGATGGAGTCTCTCAAACTATTTGCCAGGGGCTGGATTGGAACTGCGACCCTCCTGATCTCTGCTTCCTGAGTATTTAGGATTACAGGTATGAGCCACCATCACCTGGGGGACCCAAGCACTTGGGAGGCAAGGCAAGAGGAGGTTAGAGGTCAGCCTGGGCTACAGTAGCAGACCCTGTCTTAAAAAATTAAACCAAACCAATCAACCAACCAACCAAAGTAACTCTTTTTTCATTCTTCCAGTACTGGGGATTGAACCCAGGAACTCGTGCCGTGTAGTCATGCAATCTAACCCTGTGCCATTCTCTCAGCCTAAAAACCGTTTTGAGCATAGGCTTGGAAGATACAGAGTGGCTTGACTTCCAGCTCCACCTCTCCTTCAATACCCGCTTCTCCCCTGGCGCTGGGAATCAAACCCAGGACTGTTTTGGGCAGTTGCCCAATTCTCCAAGACTAGCTCAAGAGAACGAGAGTGGCACTATCTGCTTGTAGTGTCATGGAACACATGACACGAAGAGTGCAAGTGTGCCGGGTGTGGATGGATGGAGTAGGCGCTCAAGGAAGTAATCTGCGGTAACTCACGAACCAGTCGGTCCCTGGAATTATTAGGCAGCAATCTTTTACCACTTCTTAAGGAAGGTACGGGCACGTTTTCCCAGCTGCAGCTGCGCCTGCTCCCCCCCCCACCCCGCTCTCGCCCCGCCCCCACCTTCCCTGTCTTGCACGGAAGGGGAAAAGCCGCGCAGTCTCTTTAAGAGCCGGCGCCGCAGGCTCCCGGGGGCGGGCGCGTGCGGGGCGGACGTGCGGCGGGGCGGTGCTCGCATCCCGCGCCGGAAGAGAGCCGGGGCCGCCGCCTCCACCCGCAGGGCCATGCTGCTGCGGCCGCTGCGGGGCTGGGCAGCCCGGGCACTGCGGGGCTTCGGGCGGGAGAGCCCCGGCATCCCCGCCCCGGGCGCCCGGCCGCCGGGGGCGCAGCACCGCGCCTGGCTTCCTGGTAATTCGTGCCTTTGTCCCGCCTCGCAGCAGTGGCGCAGCGGCCCCGCTCCCCTCCCGCCTTGCGCACGCGGTATCCGCTTGGCCCCGAGAGCCTGCGAGACACAGGACTTCCCGGGTCTGCGGCGAGGGGCCGACGGCCATTGGCCACCACCTGGTCGCTAGCTCGCTGCGAGCAGGCGGGACTGCGGGGCCCTGGGCAGCTCTGAACATTCAGGCTCGGATTCCCCCGCCCATTTCCTGGACACAGTTTTCCGGCCCTGGGGGGAGGTGGGGGCGGGAAGCTGCAGCTGGTGCCACCAGTGGGTGGCCTGGGGCGGGGGGGAAGAGAGGTAAGGCTCCTGGCGCCCTCCCACCCTGTGGGAACTCTCCCCTGCAGAAATGTGGGCCACTGTCTTGGACAGGTTGTGGCCTTCGCTGGTTTCAGGTTGCTGCCAGCTGCCCAAACCACCGGCGGAGTGGATGGGCTGCGCTGTCAGCCCTGGCCTAAAGGACAACCGGGGACTAGCCCCGAACCCAGCCTTCTGGGGAAATGGTGATCCTTCCCGAGCTGAGTTCAGGCCCAGGCTGCGCTGTGCCCGGTGTGAAGATCTTAAATATAAGATGCCTGGAAATTGAAAAGTATATTATGCCAGGTGAAAGGACCTGAGCACACATGGGGCCTGGATGTGCCCACACATGTGCATAGTTGTCACACCCACGTAGACATTGGTGCGTTTCTTCCTCTCACCCAAGGACTGTCCTGTTTTCCAGGAATGGAAAACATTTTTAGGTCAGGGAGCAGACATCAATATTACTGTTTTTGTCGTCATTTAGCAAATTAGTATAGAGGAGAGTGAGTTATTTAAAAGTTTATAAAAATTGATTTCCTTTGTTTTGTAGATAAAGGTAGAGAAAATGAAAAGGAGAAAAAATCAGTGGTAAGTCCCTCTTCTGAGTGCACTCTGCAATATAGAATAACATTTATTTTTGAGGAGGGAGGTGAAAGAATATGTGCACCTAGTAAAAAAACAAATACAAATGGACCTCCAGGGGTAAGAAAATCTGTTTCAGACCCCCTCGCCAGAGATCACCTCTGTTAACAATTTATGTCCTCCCCAGAGTTTGCACAGGTGGGAGCACACATGTATTCCTGTCCTCCAGGTGGATGTGGACTGCTAAAGCCAGAGGGGTGATTGTTAAAAGATTGAAAAATGCTCTCCCTCTGTAGGAAAGGTTGGTTTTGCTGTGGGGAGGGTGGGCTGACCACCTCCCCCTGCTGTCCTGTGCTGAGGCTGATGGGTGGAGGGAAGATCAGAGTGAATCCATGAGGGTCCCCAGATGTGGGTTCGGTCTTGAGGTAGTTTTGAGATCCTGGCTCTGGGGTGGGGGTGTAACTGGTGTGGTGTTGAAGGTCAAAGGAAGTTCAAGTTGGAGTTATCCGGGGATGTTGGATGCTTTAGTTGGCTGGGGTGGGGGTAGCATTTCTATTACCATCAGGCCAGGTGCTCAGTTCCTTAAGGGAGCTGGAATTCAGTAGCTCCAATGACTGGGAAAGAAGTGGCTTGGCTAGTGGCTGTGTAAGTATTTTGGCAAGGCTCTGCAGACGGTGGTAAGTGAGGGCATGTGCTGGGGGGACTCAGGGATGGAGGGGCTGGGGAAGGTGTGACATCACAGGCAGAGGACTGGTGGTTGAAATGCTTGGGACTCAGGGAGGTTTGTGGAATTAGAGGAAGGGGTGCAGTATGACAGTAGGCACCTTAGAAAGGGAGGGGAAGCTAGGTTGAGCTGGATGGGAATTAATGCATTATTGTATGGTTAATTATTGAGCTAGCATTGATGTCAGTGGGGCCTGTTCTAAGTGCTTTCTAAGTGTGGTCTGATATACCCCCAGACACACAGTCCACAGTTGGAAGTGGTATGGACTGCTGGGCTATAGGTAACCATTTAAATTCTGTGAGGTCCTGTGCAGGAGGCACTGGACTAGGACCTGGAGACCTGGGGTCAAAACAGCATCTCTTGTTAGGGAGCCCTGAAGTGGGTCTGATGGGGGAGATGACAATAAGTAGGCAGTTGTAGATCTAGAGCAGCAGTGAATCTGGAGACTGGGAGAGAGGGCTTGAGAAGCCTTGGTGGCTTCTGGGAGATGGAGGAGAGCTGGAGACAGAGTGTTGGAACAGAAGGAAGAGAACCTGTAGAGTAGCCCTAGAAAGGTGACTGGGGAGGGCTTGGGAGTGTGCAGAGGGACTGGGGACAGGTTTCAACACCTAGAGCCATGGAAGGACTTTACCTCTGGCTTAGTTCATTCAAGGGGCCAGCTTCTGGTGAGGGCTTTCATGCTGCGTGTGTGTGTGTGTTTCTCATCCCATGGATGAGAGCAAGAGAGCAAAAGTGAGACCATGAGGGGGGAGGGGCAGTTCATCCTTTTGTCATGAACCCACTCCTGTGTTAACTAAACTACTCGCTACTTGCACAATAACGGGTGGAGCCCATGTGACCTAATCTCTTCTTAAAGGCCTCACCTCTCAATACTGAGGCATTGGGTTTTAAATTTCCAACACTGAACTGTAGAAGACTCATCCAAACCATAGCATTCCCATGCAATTCCATCTGGGTTGCCTCATAGGAAGAGATGGTGGTGGACCATGGGTGAAGGGCCCTGCAGGGCAGGACTAGAGGTGCTGAAGCTGGGGAGGCTGATCCAACAAGGACTTGGCTAGGGGCCTGGTGGGGGTGGGGGGTGTGGACAAAGATTTTGCAGATGAGTGGGAAACAGGGCCCAGAGGTGTTGCTGAACGTTGCTGGGAGAGGAGAAATATCCAGGGTGTTTGGGCAGATGATGCAGGCGTCACACAGCTCTATTACAACATTAAAAACGTGAGCACCACAGCACGATTTTGTAATAAAACAATTGGACAGAGCTTAACATTCAACAGTAAGGATTTAATAAATCATGGGATATCTTATGCAATGGACTACATAAGCCATTATAACTTACATTTTTGAAAAATATGAAAGGTACTCGCTATGTGAAAGAATAATTAAAAACCCTCAAACCAACAAAAATGAAAATATATCAAGTGTGATCTAAATAAAAATACATAAACTGCACTTAGGAAAAAAAGCAGGAAAGAAATCTTACAAACTTATTGATATAGACATTCTCAGTGAAGAGAAAGTGGTGCGGTTAACAGGAGGTGTATGACAGAAGAAAGGGGAAGAGATTGCATTTGAGAGTAGTGGTCTTTGTTAAATGATGTTGAACTAGGTTCCTTTTTTTAAAAGCAACTATTATAATTTGCATACCATAAGATTCACCCATTTTACGTGGCAATGAGAGGATTTTTAGTAAGTTTTCAGAAGTGTACAACATTTCTGTGATCAAATTTTGGAACATTTTTATCACTCCAGAAAGAAACCTTGTGCCTGTCTACAGTCGCTCTCCTAAGGCCAGGTGACCATTAATCTACTTCTGTCTTTTTGCCTTTTATGGGCATTTTATAGAGAATGAGTTCTATAGCTTGTGATCTTTTGTGTCTGCCTTCTTTCACTCACACAGTATTTGGATACATGTGCACTGTAGCACGCATCAACACTTCATTCTTTATTGATGAATAGTGTTCTACTGTGTGGCTATACCACACTGTTTCTTCATTTACTAAATGTTAGACATTTGGATGACTTGTCTTTTTACTGCAGATTTCTCAGGGGCTTTGATAGGATATTTTAATGTTGATCGTATTTATTTATTTATTTATTTATTTTTGCAGTGGTGGGAATTGAACCCAGGGCCTCGTCATGCTAGGCAAGCATTCTGGCTCTGAGCTAATATCCCCAGCCCTTGGAGCTCAAGGCTGTTTGCCACCTGTTTGTCTTTGGTTTTGATTAAACATCCAACAGGCAGTTCTATGGAATTATGAGTGATTTTTATTTTCTTGTGATAACGCTGTATTTCTACAATGGGAATGCTTATCTTCCCTTTTTAGAAAAGGTAAAATGTTATTTAAAAATAAGGGTAGTGACCCAAGCATGTTGGTTTATGCTTGTAATCCCAACACTCAGGAGGCTGAGGCAGGAAGATTGAGAGTTTGAGGCCAGTGTGGGCTATACAGCAAGACTCAAAAAAAAAAAAAAAAAAAAAGTCCAGGTGTGGGAGAAGGAGATTGGAGGATCACTGTTGGAGACCAGCCAGGGCAAAAAAGTTAGTGAGACCCCATCTCAGCCAACAATCTGGGCATGGTGGCATGCACCTGTGGTTCCCAGCTATAGTGAGTAGGCAGGGATTGAGTGCTAGGGCAAAAACGAGAGACCCTATCCAAAAAAATAACTAAAGCGCAGAAGAGTCTGGGGGCATGTCTCAAGTGGCAAAACATCTGCCTAGCAAACTTGAGGTACTAAGTTCAAACCCTAGTACTGCCAAAAAAATAAAAATAAAAAATAAGGGTAGGGCTGGGGTATAGCTCAGTTATTGAGTGTGTGCTTAGCATGTGCAAGGATATGGGTTTGATCCCCAGTTCCATTGTAAATAAAAATAAGGGTAGGTAATTGAACAGTGACAGTTACAATGGCAGGAAATTGGACTCGGGCCTCAGAACAGAGGAAAGACGCGGTGAATCCGCAGACCCCTGGGCCAGGCCGGCCGTGGGCTCCCTTCCCCTTTTCTTTTAATTTGCTACTGCTTTCTTCCCCTCCCTCACCCTATGGTTGCTGGGACTGGTGCTGAGCACACAGTGCCTAGGACATAGTAGACCTTCTGTAAGCAGTTGAAAGATTCTCAAAGGTGAGAAATGTGCCTGCGTGGAATAGGCTAAAATGTAACTGTGTTTATGTCTTTGTATTGGAATTCTGAGCGACTTGATTTTCTTTAGTGAACTTGCAGTCCTTTTAAGATATTTTTAGACATCACTTTAAAAAAGGAACTGGGCAGGAGGATCATGAGTTTGAGGTCAGCTCAAAAGAGAAAAAGAGAGAGAGAAAGGAAAGAAGGAAGGAAAGGGGGGGAGGGAGGGAGGAAGGAAGGAAAGAGAAATGGAAGCTTTTCTTGGCTTAACTTCTCTTTTTTCCTCTTAATTCTTTCCAATTCATGCCTTTCCTCCTCTATACCAGGGCAGTGTGGGGAGCAGGGTTGGCTGAGTTCATTCAAGTTCTATAGGTGATAATAGGAACAATAGGTAGAAGGTCTCATCTGAACAGTATGTTAAAGTCCTTGCAGTGAACAGGAAAGAAAGTCAGTGTAGAATGGTGTCTAGGTTGAGCTTTTTAAATGTCCAGGAGAGGAAAAGTAGTTTTCTTCCAAGAACAACAGCAAAAATTCAAATCCACTGGTACCCTAATGGGGTCTTCATGTCCTTTTGCCTACTCCCTTGGATTCATTTTGTAGTTTCAGGTCCTGAAGGAGTGAGCTGGCAAGGGCCCAGGATTGGAGGGTGGCCTGGTGTCTCTTGAAGAGCGATTGTCCAGTTCCCTGGGATACCTGTTACAATCAAGGCAGGAGAAGACCTTTGAGCTCCACCTGCTAGGGAGTTTTGTAGTGGGTATGGTGAGATGAGATGACCAGTTGTGACTGGGATTGCATGTACAGTGTGACTGAGGCTCCACCAGGGGTCATGAAAAGCGGCCTGTCAGGCCAGGGTGTGAATTCCGCCCACTTCTGTTTCTGGTCTGCTGCCTGGGAAGTTACCCCAGGTTTGTCCGAGTGCTTCCAGCCTGGGTGTAAAGCGACAAGCCACTGTGGGAACATGACTTCTGACTGTGTATGTGTACAAGTGTTCTCATGGGTCAGCAGTCTGTCTTCTTACTTATGCAGAACTGTCCACTCCCTCTTGTGGTCTGCTGGTGCCAAAACCACTTGGTCCATGTCACCAGCAGTGCCTGACTGAGCAGAGCCTTGTCAGAATTGCAGGGCAGCAAGTTGGAGGGCTCCAGTCCAAGGTCTGACTGAGAGGATGGGTGCTACCTCGTGCTTCATCTTGTTTAACAATTCCCTCTGGGTCTGGCATGCAGCTCAGTGGTAGAGCATTTGTCTAGCATACACAGAGCCTTAGGTTCGATCCCTAGCACCATAATAAAAAACAAAACAAAAACCAAGCTTCTCTGTGCTTCTCTCCGAAGCCCTGTTTCTGAAGGTGAGTGGGGCTCAACCTTGCCTGCACTTGAAATCACCTGGAGAGCTTTACAACTTACTGAGACCTGAGTTCCACACTCAGAGATTGTGGTGTGATTGGTATGAGTCGTAGCTTCTCATAAAGATACTTAAAAGCTCCCAGGTGATTCGAAACGTCACCAGGGTTGAGAAGCACTTCTCTGAAAGCCTCTTTTCTTATGATGAGTTGCTTGGAGGAGGCCCACTGTCTTTAGTATGGACGGACCCCTAGGTTGCTGGTTATGGTTTGTCCCCTGACACCCCTCCCCTGGTGCACGCCAGGAGCAGGATGTGAGTTCAGGCTGTCCTCCTTACTTTATTCCCTTTTGCAAGTCTGTTTTCTGTGAAGAAGGTTCTGGTGAGGTTAAATGTGCTGATGTTATTGGTTACTCATCTTAACGCCTGGCGTATGTCAAAAGTTGCTTGGCCCACATTCTCATCGGTGTCTGACTTCCTCTCTCTCTCCCTCCCTCCCTTCCTTCCTCCCTCCCTCCCTTCTTTCTTTCCTCCCTCCCTTCCTCCCCTCCCTCTCTCCCCTACCCTCATTTCCTTCTTTCCTTCCTCCCCTCCCTCCCTCTGTCTCTTTTTCTTCTCCCCTTTTTCCTTCTCCCCTTTCCTAATATTTCCCAGGCAGTGGCTGAGTGCTTCTTTTCTGTATAAAGCAGTGAGTTATGTGTGTGCTTTCTGATCTCATGGCCATTGATTAGACTCTGGTTAAAGAGACCACACTCTTGCACCTGCAGTCTACACACAGCGTTCTGAGGGGTTGAGCTAGGAAATGGCAGAGCTGGGCTGAGTGGATAAACTGCACGTGGTGTAAGAGTTGACACAAAGGAGGGTCTGGTCTGGAGGGACCACTGGAGCCTACCACGTGGGGCCAAGGGGGTGATTTGTCTGTTATTACGAAGAGTGAGACCTTGGGTTTTCTGAGGAGTGTTTTGGTTTACCTATCCAAGTCTTGGACTGGACCAGTTATGCTGGTCGCCGGAACCTTTCCCCAGCGTATTTCCCTGATACTCCCTTAGACCTTGATTTCCAGCTCTAACATGCATGTGTCTTTTGCCAGATTTGTGTTGAGGGCAATATTGCAAGTGGGAAGACGACATGCCTGGAGTTCTTCTCCAACACGACAGACGTTGAGGTATGGTGTCTATGCTGGGGCTAAAGGACCCTGAAAAGACTTGATGGAGTAATTCAGTCAAGTCATAGGTCACCAGCACTGTCCAGTAAGAGCATGTGCAAGTGATTTAGCGTTTCTAATAGCCTCAGTTCAAAGTCAAAAGAACCTTTTACTTAATGCAGGATATCCCAAATATGATCACATCAATACATAGTCTCAAAATTGTCAGTGAACTATTTCACATTCTGTTTTTCATACAAAATGTTTGGAATCTGCAACGTTTTTCAATTTGGACTGCAGGCAGTCCCCAACTTAGTGATGCAATTCAGAATTTTTTTTTACTTTACAAGTGGCATAAAACCAATACACATTCAGTAGAAAGTGCACTATGATTTTAAGTAGATTAGGTGTATTAAATGCATTTTCAGTTTAGATATTTTCAACTTAGGATGGGTTTCATTGAGATATAACCCCACTGTAAGTCCAGGAGCTCTGTTGACACATTTTGATGTTGTAATAGTCACATGTTGCTCATGGCTACTGTACTGGACAACGTAGGTATAGATCTTACCACAGTCTGGTTAGGGAAAGAATCTACATATGAAAGAAGGAAAGTCAAGCTATTGAGCCCAGAGAGAATGTTACAGTGTGACATCTGAGTCATCAGTGTCCAAGCAGGGGAGTTCAATGTATGTAACCAGGTAATATATTTTCTAGTTATTTAAAGCCCAGTCACTGAGCATGACCTCACAGATGTTCAAGAATCATCACAAGACCCTTCTTCCTTATTCTAGATTTTAGTGGTATAATTCTGTCTCTTTATGGATCTTTTTTGTTCTAGGTAGGTATCCATTGTCTGAAATGATTGGGAACAGAGTGTTTCACATTTTGGATTTTTTCAGATTTTGGAATATTTGTGTATACATAATGATGTATCTTGGGGATGGGACCCAATTCTAACACAAAATTCATTCATGTTTCATAGCCACTTACACATATAACTTGAGGGTAATTTTAGTGTACCTACACTTTGACTGTGATCTATCACATGAAATCCAGGTGTGGAATTTTCCACTTGTGGCATCAGGTCAGTTTGGATTTTGAAGCATTTTAGATTTCAGATTATGGATGGCCAGACTGTATTGTAGATCGTATAATTTCCACACCATTGAAGTAATTTTCATTCCCTCCTTTCCTGTTTTTATTTCTATTTAAGTCTTATTTAGCCCTTGTCTTGTTTGTGTTCTGCTACACATAAAAAAGTTGATGTAGCAGGCCCAAGACTGTTACCCTTATAGAGGCCTGCTGGAAACGTTGGCCCTTGGCCTTTCCTAACTGGAAAGAGTGGCTGTCTGAGCCTAAACTCTTTGTGAAAGTAGTATAATTTATGTTGAACACTTGCTTTGCCCCTGGGAACCTGGGATTTTGGTGCGTTGATGAAAACCCTGAATTCTCAGGCTCAGCCCAGCTTCTCTGGTAGATGGCATTTTTCATGTGTTCTCACAATTTGTTGCTGGGGGAATTGAGTATGTCCTGTGTGACTCCACTGGGCAAGGACACTTGGAAATTTGTACCTGGTTTCTCCCCAGGTACCTTTTCCCTTTGCTGATTTTGTTCAGTGTCCTTTCATGGTAACAAATCTTACCTGTGATATTGTATGCTGTAGCTCATGAATCATCAAACCTGGGGAGGGGGTCTTAGGTACTTCTAACATTTGGTCTGAGTGGTGTAACTCTCAGTGGTACTTCGGAAGTGATTATATTCTCACTGAAGACCTTGGAAGCAGTTGAGACAACAGCAGCAGTTAATACCTACCTAAAGTCTGTAATACTGTATGTCAGGCACTGTGATACATGTTCATAATATTGTCTGATTGATTCCATCCTTACATGAGTGATCCTTCTGAGGTAGGCACTTTTATTACCTCAGTTGCAGAAGAGGAAACCAAGAATCAGTAAGGGTAATTGGCTTATAAACTTTGCATGGTGTGATGGTTATTTTTGGGTGTCATCTTGACTGGATTAAAGAACAGTAGTCCCTACCGCCCCACCCCCTGCCCCCATTTGTTTTTTCACTTTTTATGGTTTCACTTGAGGTCAGTCATGATCTAAAAATACTAAATAAGACTGGTGGCAGAGCACTTGCCTAGAAAGTGTGAGACCCTGAGTTTAAACCACAGTACCTCCAAAAGATACTAAATAGAAATTCTATAAATGAACAATCCATAAGTTTAAATTGTTCACTATAACATCATGTACTTGATGAAATCTCATGCCTTCCTGCTCTGTTCCACTCAGGATGAATCATTCTTTTGTCTACCGTATCCATACTGCATATGCTACCCTCCTGTTAGTTACATAGTAGCCCTGTCTGTTATCAGATTAACTATAGTGGCTCCCAAGCTCAAGAATGGTGATACTGGCAATTTTATTACAGCATATTATTGTTATTGTTCTATTTTATTATTTGCTATTAGTCTCTTACTCTGTCTAATTTATAAAGTAAGCTTAATTATAGGTATGTATGCACAGGAAAAACATAGTATATTTAGGTTTGGTACAATCTGCAGTTGCAGGCATCCATTGGGAGTCTTGGAATGTATTCTCCATAAATAAGGGGGGGACTACTGTACCTAGAGAACTGATAAAGCATTATTTCTGGGTGTGTCTGGAAGGGTATTTCCAGAGGAGATTACATGTGAGGGAACAAAAAGGGAAAAGCATTGCCTCTGTCCTGGAGCTGGACACCCTTCCTCCTGTTCTTGGACATCAGACCTCCAGGCTTTCTGGCCTTAGAACCTCAGAACTTACACCAGAGGCTCCCTGGGGTGTTTGACCTTCAGCTCAGCCTGAGAATTCTACCATTGGCTTCCCTGGTTTTTGGACTTTGAACCTGAATTGAGCCATGCTACCAGCAGCCCAGGCTCTCCAGCTTCACACACCTGTCGTGGGACAGAGTTCTCAGTCTCTATAATTACATGAGTCAGTTTTCCTAACTAATTCCCTCTTGTACCCATCTCTATATTTATACTATTGGTCTGTCCTGTAGAGAACCCTGAGTAATATCCATATACGTGGCTAGTGTGTGGTGGGGCTAGCTCAGGCTGTCCAGTTCCAGGGGCCATGGCCTTGTTTGGGTCTGTGGTATGCAAATCTTTGTTGGCTTTAGGCAGGTCACTCAGACTTCAGACCCGGCTGATCTTCAGCTGTTCTCAGGTCATTTCTGGAAGTTGCCCCATCTAGCTGGAGTTGTGGCCTCACAAAGGGGGTTGCTCAGATATTTTGGCCCTCCCATTTTGACAGTGTCCCCACCCCCCTCCCCGCTCTCTTGCATGCTGTCACAGAGCTCAGAACCAGAAGCAGCAGCTCTCTCACATTTTCTCTCTTTCCAGGTGCTAATGGAGCCTGTGTCCAAATGGAGAAATGTCCGTGGCCATAACCCTCTGGTAAATGGCTTGTTTCTTCCATAAACCCTTAACTGCCTAGGAATGGTGGTGCTGAAACCCAAGCTCGAGCCTGTCATCATCCTCCCTGTTAGCTGGGTTGGACTATAGCAGGGACAAGCAGAAAAGGTGACATGTTGGTGTTTGTCCAGAGCCCAGGGACCTCTTGTTGGTGACCTGAAATTATCCCCAGTGGCTGTCAGAACCCAGGTGTCTTTGGGACTGTCCCCTAGGACCTAGCTCTAAGTAGTCAGATTCCTGGTGAATTCTTGATTTGGGTTTGTGCTTGGCAGCATCCAGCAGTAGGAGCTGCCTCTGGCTCACCCTGAAACCACCTGTCTGCTTTCCCAGGGTGGACCTAGAAAGCGTGTGCCATAGTGTCACATACCTCTTCTCCTTCCTTTCCCATTCAGAATGTTCTTCTCTGTGTGCTTGAAAGAGATAGATAGGGCTGGGTATGGTGGCTCATGCCTGTAATCCCAGGTACTCAGGATGCGAAGATCAGGAAGATCAAGGTTTGAGGCCAGCCTGGACAAACAGCTAGGGAAACTGTCTCAACAAACAAGCTGGGTGTGGTAACCCACACCTGTAATCTCAGTTGTGTGGGAGGCATGGGTAGAAGAATCTTAGTCTGAGGCCAGCCTCGGGCAAAAGAGGGAGGCTCTATCTGAAAAGAACAAAATCAACAACAAAACTAAAGCAAAAAGGGCCAGGGGGGATAGTTCAAGAGGTAGAGCACCTGCCTAGCAAGCTCAAGGATCTGAGATCAAGTCCTGGTACTGAAAAAAATCCGTTCTGCCACTGGGCTCCCATCCCATGATACAGGGGTTATTAGTCTCAGTGCTCAGATGAGGAAACTTCAGCTTATATTGCCTAAGGTCACACAGCTCTGGGTTTGAACCTTGGACGTGGAAGCCTGTGCTGCCTGTTCATTTCTAGCAGTGCAGTTGGCCTCTCCTCCTGTGATTCATCAGACTCTGAGTTCCACTGTAGGTAGGTCCTGTGTCTGTTTTGTTCACTGTTAGCTAGAACACAGGCACACTGCCTAGACCTCAGAAGGCACTTGTTTGTTCATTCATTCAGCCAGTATCTATTCCATGTCTTCTATTTGGCAGACACTGTTCTGGATGCTGGGACAGTGAGCAGCTCAAAGCCCCTTATCTCCTGGTTCTAATATTGCAGTGTGGGGAGGCAGGAGACAATTAGATGTAGCATGGTGAGAGGTGGTGAGAGGAGCTGTGAAGGAAGCTAAAGAAAAGGCAGAAGCGCTCAGAGTCTTCGAATAAAGAATCCCAGAGTTGTGAATCCTACTTTGTGCATGTGGGAGCAGATGGAATGCCAGTCATCTTCTTGAGCATAGCAAAGTATAACAAAGAAACTTTGGAAATGTTCAGTTCTCTAGAGGCCAGGCAGGAGCCAGGCCTGATTAGTAAGTAAGACAACTGAGCTGCAGATGTCAAGGATTATAGGTGACATATCACAGGACAGAATCAGTCTCAGAAGGCCGAGTATCCTTGGTACAAGTAGCATTTCCAAAGAGTGTTAAAATAAAAAATACGACAGAATTAGGCATTTTCACATTTCCACTCTGGACAGAGAGCCAGATGTATGCTTTTGTGAGCGGCATTGTCCATCATTCTGATTGGTTCTCTGACACAGAAAGGTGTCCGTTGCTGTACCTGTCCAGCTCCTGACCTTCCTCAGGTTTTCTTTCACCTGCAGTGAGGTGAGCCTGCAGTTTTCAGTGTAGAGCACCAGGTGTCATGAGTTTGCACCAAGAGAAAAACAAAAGCAGAAACATAGAATAAGATTATTAGTGAGCAGACTATGGGGCAGGAAGCGTTTTTGTATCTGAGGGTAATACAATAATTAGGGTGTGCATGCTTCTATTTTAGAAGGATAAAGTAGTTGGGCACCAGTGGCTTATGCCTGTAATCCTAGCTACTTGGCAGGCTGAAGTTGGGAGGATCCAGTTTGAGGCCAGCCCAAGCAAAAATTCATGAGACCCCATTTTAACCAACAGATTGGCATGGCAGTGTGTGCCTTCATTCCATCTATATGGGAGGCTGAGAGGGGAGGATAGAGGTTCTAAGCCAGCCTAGGCAAAAATGTTTGCAAGACCTCACCTCAATAGAAAAAAGGTGGGCATGGTGGCGCATACCTGTCATCCCTACTTTTGCAGGAAGCATAAGATAAGGGGATTGTGGTACGGGCTGGCCTGAGCAAAAAGTGAGACCCTATCTCAAAAACAACCAGAGCTAAAAGGGCTGGAGGTGTGGCTCAGGCGGTGGCATGATTGCCTAGCAAGTGTAAAGCCTGAGTTCAAACTTCAGTACTCCATAAAAATAAATCAATAGAAGTAAGGAAAAAAGAAAAGAAAGGATAAGGTGATATTTACAGAGACCCAAACCTGAGGGAGGGAACACGGCAGGCATCTGGAGGAAGAGTGCTCTGGTCTAAGAAGCAGCAGGTGCAAAGGCCCTGAGGTGGGCGTCCTGCTTGATGTGTTTGTGGGACACTGGATCTCCTGTAGTTGGAAGCTGACTGGCCAGAGGAAGAAGGGCAGGAGATGCAAGAGAATGGTTGTGATTCTCTAGGGCCCTGTGGGCCATGCTGAGGGTTTGGATTTCATTCTGAATGTAATGCAAAGTCCATAGAAGGTCCAGAGCAGGGGATTTAGGTTTAACAGGGTCACTTTGGCTGCTGGATGGAGAACAGACCACAGTGGGCTCAAACAACATTCACAGAATGACCGTGCTTGTTCCCTAGCTCTTACTCCCCTTCTCCTTTCCCTTCCCCTAACCCTTCCCCCTCCATCCCTTCTCTCATCCCTTCCCCTTCCTCTCACCCCCATTCTGTCCCCCATCCCTCCTCCCATGCCTTCCACTTAGGGCTCAGTTTGCTTGCTAAGCGGGTGCTGTATCACGTGAGCTACTCCCTCAGCCGTGTGTGTGTGTGTGTGTGTGTGTGTGTGTGATGTTTTTGAGATAGGGTCTCACTTTTTGCCTGGGCTAGCCTTGAACTGTGATCCTTTTGATATTTGCCTCCTCAGTAGCTAGGATTACAGGTATGAGCCAGTGGTGCCCGGCTCATGTAGATTTCTTGAGGTGGCTTTCAGTGATAGACCAGAATTCTGCAGGTGCCACTTGGATGCAGTGTTGCTTTCTTCCTTCTGCAGGGTCTGATGTACCAAGATGCCTGTCGGTGGGGGCTCACCCTGCAGACATATGTGCAGCTCACCATGCTGGACCAGCACACTCGTCCTCAGGTACAATTCGGATACTTGGTTTCAACCTTCTCAAAATTTCTTTCAAATTTAGGATATGTGATTGCCAGGAAGGGAAACCGTCAGTGCTGCATAGCCTTCTCTGTGGCAAGGTCTCCTGTCCCCACAGCTCTCTGAGGACCAGCCTCCAGTGTCCCCCACCCACCAACTTCAGCCAGCTAGGCGGCCACTCTGATGTTATCCTGAGCTCACATCTCCATGACGTGACCACTGCTGGGCTCTACACCATTTAACTCCGTTCTTCTCAAAGTGTGGTCCCTGGCCAGCAGCAGCATTTCCTGGAAACTTGGTGGAAATGCACATTTTCTGGTCCCACCCCAGACTTGCTGAATCAGAGATTCTGGGGATGAGGCCCAGCAATCTGTTTTATGCAGCTGTCCAGGTGCCTCTGATGCATGCTTTGTGTGTCTGCATGTTTGAGAACCACTGCTCTAACATTCACCAGGTCTGGCTCTTAGTTCACATTCTTGAAAGAATCCGATTGGTTCAGCCTGGGTCAGATGGCCAGCCCTGGTTTGATCAGTTGTTGGGGCTGCTTAGGCCCTTCCATTGGTAGGGACATGACTAGGGGTAGACTATCTTAGAAGACAGGGTGCTTGGGGAGATCCTGATTGGTACCTGTGGCTCAAAGCTATAAGCATCCCTAAGACACCAGTGTTAGATTCCATGAAGGGGAGTAGTATATTTTGTGTGTATGTAGGATTTAAGAAAACCACTCAAATTGTTAACATTTGGCTGATTTTAACCAGCAAGCCACACCTACATTGGCACAGCCACTGGGCCGGCCAAGCAGTTTGATCCAGGTTTGGCCACCTATAGATGTAGTTATCATTCTTCTGTTGACACAAATCTGTGTCTTTTAAAATTGAAAGATGTGAGCAGAACATTTTTGGTGGATATGAATTTCTCTCTCTCTAAACATCTTTCTCAGTAATATAGATCAGAGGGTCTGTGTTTAGTGCATTACTCCCTTGCCTTACCCTGCTTTCCCCAAGCAGGCACTCAATTGCAAACTTAAATAGTATTTAATGATATCTGAGTACAATGGGATGCAGACAGAAATCTATTGCTAAGGAGGCAGAGATGGAGAGAGAGAACTGGGTGGACTAGGAAGGAAGGATAGCAGTGTGAGTGGGAAGCCAGTGGAGCCACAAGAGATGGAGGATGGCAAGAAAGATGAATGCACAGAGGTGGGGAACAGATAGAAAAGGAGGGAGAGCTGGGAGATTTTGGGTTATGGCTTTGACTGTGTCTTTGTGTCTCATGGGTGCCTGGGCCCATGCAGAGCCAGAACAATGTCCACTTGGTGTCAAGGTTAAGGCCCCCTCCTGCTTCTCAAGGGGACTCTGTGGATGAAGGGAAAGTTTGTCTGTGGAGGGTATGAGCACCTGGCAGAGAAAGACAATGTCCAGTCATCCTCCTCCCTCTGAGCACAGTACTTCCCAGTTTCCACAGTCAGAGCCCCCAAAAGACAGCCCTCTCAGACTCTACCTCTGGATCTACACAGATCCCTGCAAAAGCACTGTCACTCTGTTCAGAGCCTTACTCATTACACTGTGCCTCCAGGAGACAGTATGGGCAGTGTTTCCAGCCCCTCTCACCTTCCAGTTGAGCCTCGCCTCTTTCCTGAAACAGGTGGCAGCTTACAGCCATCAGCCCCGCAGTGCTGTGCGGTCCTTCCTGCTTCCAGGTGAAGCCAGTCAGGGTGGAGGGAGGGGCACAGCTGAGCCTTAGGTCAGACTTGGCTTTTTCTCAGATCCTGTGCCCCCTCTCGTGGCCTCTTGATTAAAAGATGGGGGGCCATGTCTGGGAGGGTAAGACAGGTTTTTCAGGGCTTCCTTACCCCTTCCTCTTCAGGAGTTGCTGAATCACCTTTTGTTTTTTCTTAGACATCACCAGTTCGGTTGATGGAGAGGTCCATTTACAGTGCAAGATACATTTTTGTAGAAAACCTGTATAGAAGGTACAGTAGTTTGCACGATTGATAATTTATCAAACCACTGTATTTTTGAAATGACATTTGAACTTATTTAATGGCAGATGTGGAGTACTGACTTTGTTGCATCAGTTATCTGTTGCCATAGGAGTGCTGTGGAACCAACAGTACAAACCTCAGTAGTGACAAATATGTGCCATTGTTACCAGGTCAGCCTGGTGGCTTCCTGACCTTGGCTGGGCTCAGTGAGCTATCTGGGAGTTGGCTAGACTAGGATAGACTTTGCCAGACTGACAGGGGCCAACTCATCTCTCTTCCTCTTGCCTGTCATCCTCCATTTGAGACCAGAAGCAAGCCTGGTATTCTCATATTGTGGGGACGACAGAGGGCAAAAGCCCCAGTGGACATGGACTTCAGGCCTTTGTTTAACGTTTGCTGTGGTCACGTGCGCATAGGGTGGAGGGAGGGAAGACCTGGGGAGTCCCATGGCAGAGTGCAAGGGACGAGGAAGGGTAAAGAATTTGGAGGACTGGAGCATATGTATCTACCTCCCCCACATGCTATTTGTGGTGAGTTCACTCAAAGCTGGCCTCTGCCCTCAGGTCAGGGCACAGAGCGTGTACAGACATAGCTGGAGGGCTTCTGGTGTCCATTCCCAAGGCTCAGGGGTGGGGCTTCTGTTCTTGTGCTTAGCTGGCTATTGATTTTCAGGTGTCTTGGGGGAGATGGGTTGCAGGCCAGAGTTGCAGCTTGTTCTGAGCGCCTCATTGTCCTTACCAGTCTCTCCATTTTACCACTTCTACTCTCAGCTTGGAGTGCTTTCTTTCCTTAGGGGAACTGATTCTGATATTAGCACAGGATACTCCTGCTTCCACTCTTCATGCTGGTTTCTGGATATTTTCCTCCTAGCCATAGCTGTCCTCAGTGACCCCCAACTCTTCCCAACTACCCTCCCTAGATGGGTTGAGCCTCCCCCATTTTTTCCTGCTGTCGAGTATGGAACCTAGGGCCTTGCACATGCTAGGCAAGTGCTCTACCATCTCCAGTTCTCTTCTTGCTTCTCTTGATGACTTTCTGTTGGTTTTCCTTACAGTATTCAAGAGACAACCATATGTATTGTTAACATTTGGCTGATTTTAACCTGCAAAAATGGCATTTCATGTGGTTTAACTTAATACTAAATTTAATTGTTTATTGCTCATTCCCAACTAGGCTGTACACTTCTTGAGGGCAGAGTCTGCTTTCCTTGCCTAGTGTGGACCAAGCACAGAGCAGCCCCTGGGCCAGTGCTTATTCACTATTACTGGATACTTTTTAGTCTCTAGCCCAGCGATGCCCTAGACTCTGGCCCCCTGTTCACATGCTTTCCTTTGAGGGGGCCACTAAACAGACTTTAGCTGGTTCCAAGCTCTCATGGATTGTGTTTTTGAGTCTGGGGGGCTCCCAATATGTCCATTGCCCCCAGGCCAGTAAGTATTAGATCAATGCTATGGGGGCCAATGCTGGCAGCTAGGGAAAATTCTGACGGAAACTTTGTCCTCTGACTTCAGACCTTTCTTGTGACTAGCTTGTGCTTCCAGTAGCTAGTACTTCTGACACAGGGCCCTCTCTTCTCCCTGCTGTCCATTTTCCAGTGAGCAGGAGGTGGACACTACTAGGTTTAGCCAACCCTTTACTCTCCTCTGCTCCTTAATGTCTCAGCAAGAGGGAGGAGGCAAAGAGAACCAAGGACAGAAAAAGAAAGCCCTGTGGTATTTGGTTACTGCTCTGAGAAAGTAGCCAAGACAGGCTAAGGGGCAGTCCTGGGTGGTGGAGCATGGTTTCCAGTGAACCTTGTAACCAGGTTGTCTGCATTCTGATTGCCATTAGCTCAGCTGGTTCTCTGTGTCAGCCCTTTGTGAAGAGGGTAACCAAGACTAGAATAACCAGAGGTTGGAATGTGGAGTGTGGAGTTAGGTGGACCTGGGTCCCATCCCGCCTCTGGACTTTGCTGTCTTCGTGAGCATGACCATTTTTCTAAACTTCTCGCAGCCCATTACGCATGTGCAATTCCTGCTGTCCATCTCTGAAGAGCCTTGGGACCAGTCACCTAGTTTGAGTCTGTGACCCGTATGAAGGTGCTTGCTCACCTTGGTCTCCATGAAATTTGCCGGTCGCCCCCATACATACCTGTAGGGCTGCCTAATGCCAGATGAAATTCCCAGGAACTGTTGGTCTGTGCTTATCCTAGGCCACAGTTTTAGCTGATGTCCCTGGGCTCTGGAGACTCATTACGACACTTCCCACTAGGTTTCTCACAGGTGACTTTTGTGTGTCTCAATCTCTGTGGCTGTAGCGTTGGTCCAGATAGCATGGGCCTTGCTCTGGGCTGTTTTGTGAGTAGTATGTGCCGATAGGGTAGCTTTACGTATACATGCATACATATACAATACCTATCTTTTTTTTTTTTTTTTTTGGTACTGGGGTTTGAACTCAGGGCCTGGTACTTGCTAGGCAGGTACTCTACCACTTGCAAAATGCTCCCAGTCATTCTGCTTTTAATTTATTTTTTTGGAAAGGGTTTCGTGTTAACTTTTGCCCAGGCCAGCCGTGAACCATGATCCTCCTCCTTTTGCCTTCTGAATAGTCAGATACCTTACCACATCTGGTCTTCTATATTCTTTCTCTAGCTCTTTTCCTGCCCTGCCGACTTCATATTTATGCGGGCGGTGGCCCTCCCACATGCCTTTCCTGGTGTCTGTGGTTCAGATTTCTGTGGAACCGTGGCCAGGAGGTACATTGATTGTCTGCTTGTGGGCTCTTTTTGGCAGGTGAGGAACTGAGAAGGGAGTACAAAGCAAGCCAGCTCCTTTATGATGGCATAAGAAACTCTCTGAGACATGGGAAGGTGTTCTGTACCCTGCTGGATGGCTAAGCCAGGAATAAGGAAATGGTGAAGATGAGTAGAGTTCTCTCATTCAGGCCAATGCTTCAGGGCCCATAGGAGCCCCCAAAAGCTTAAAATCCGCAAGTGTGGGCTCACGAGACCCCTCTTTTCACACAGGCCTTATTACTGGCTTCTCCCTCTGTCACCTGTGCATCCCATCCAGTGTGGCTAGGCAAAGCCTAGGAATCTACATGTCTTACAAGTGCCCAGGTGAACTGCTGCTCTGAGTGAGAGCCAGCAGATACCAGCAGCCAGGTGGTTCGCAGGGAGCTCTCTGACCCTACACCTTAGCCCCTTGCCCCTAGGAGGCCTTCAGGGATCATGGGAGCAAGAACTGTTCCTTAGAGTTGTCTTTGAGAATCTAGGACTTAACCATGCAGGATTTCCTGTTTCCTGCACCTGATCTGCTGTTTCTTCCTTTCACATTTGTGGCCTGAGATTTTGGTTATTGGGTTTTGTTGTGTTATCTTTGTTTTAAAGGTTTCTGGAGAGGACAACTATAGGCCAAAGGTTTATTTCTCTTGAGACAGTGAAAAGTGTTTCAGGCCATAGCTTCAGGCTAAGCTTGACAAAGATAGGCTTTGGTCCGCTGGAATGTACCTGGCCCTTCTCAAAAACTATGTGTCCAGCATCAGTTAAGAAATGGTCTGGGCATCAGTGCTTAGCATACTATCTTGGTTGACTATCTTAATGACTTGGTTTGTTCTATAGAGCTTGGGATATATGTCAGGATCGTCTGGTGGGCAAAATAGACCTTAAAACCAAGATACCTGTAGTCATGTCAAGCTGGGTCCCTACATTTATTTTGAACCTATATCAGATGGAGCATAGAACATGATCCTTTGCCCATACCTGAATCAGGACATTTTGGTTCCAATCTGCAAGAGCTTAGCTGGGTTCTAGCATGTGAGGGGCAGGAATTTATATTTCTTCACTTTCTGGGATGCTCAAGAAAGAGGCTTCTTAATGAGTTCTGGTGGAGGGGGTGGGGCTTTCACAGGGCAGTGGGGAAGTCACTGCCCCTTCAGGGCTGGGCTTGATCTTTTTCTAAGGAGCCCTGTAGTCTTAACTAGGAACATGTGGGGGCCTGGATGAAGGGAGCGTGGCAGGCGTGGTCTTGCTGTATGCAGTTGTAGGCCTGGGTTTTTAGAAAAGCCCACATACACACATTGGAATTCTGCATCTCCTCAAAACAAATTTTTCCTAAGGGTGTTCTTGCCTTTTGGACCTTGAAAAGTGAAGAGCTCACCTAGGGAGAGACCCACCTCTTCCTCTTATCCCGCCAGGGGTTTGAGAGGGTTGTGTTAATAGCTGAAGAGGAAGGTTTCAGTTGCAGGGTGTCCTCAAAAATGGGGACATCTGAGTTGTGGGCACCAGGCTGCAATGAAAACTGAAGGTGGTGAGAAAGCTTCATGCAGCTTTAGAGACCATGCAGGCAATTGTGTGGCTGAACCCTGTGGGCTGAATAATTGAGTGCAAAGGCTTTGCAGGATTGCCTGGGCCTCCTTTTCTGAGTACAGAAGTAGAGCATTGAGTGGGGCCTAGCAGGAGCCATGGCAGCTGACTCACCTGGCATGTTGGAACAATGGGGAGGCCCTCCCACTTTCCCTGCAGGCCTTGGGATTCCCCAGAGACCCCAAATCAGGGACTTAGGGCCTGGTTCATGGGCCTAAGAGCTGCAACTTTCCTTGTGCTCAGGCCACAGAGATCCATGATAGCCCTGTAGTTGACAGGCCAATGAAGGAGTGATGCAATGGAGAGTGGATGTGTTTGGGGCCTAGGGAGGGCCAGGCTTGAAGCCCTGCTCAGACATCATTGGACCTAACTTTTCTGAGCCTGTTCTCCTCATCTGTAAGTTTGGACTAAAACTGACTTTGAATGTGGAGTTTTAAGCCCCAGGCCCAAGCTTTAGGGCTTCCACATCAGGTCAGGCCACTTGCCCAAACAAGTCAAATAAAGAAACAAGTGATGGTTAAGGACAGAGAAAGGAACTTTATTCTAAGGCACAGGCAGCCGCGGGAAGAGAGCTCTTCAGCCCATGTTTAGCCACCTTCAGGGTACAGACGTGAGCTTTTGGCTTAAATGGACAAAGAATTTGGGCAGACGTGAAAGCTGTGCGTGATGATGAATCAATCAGTAGTCCTAATGACAGATGTGCCTCATTGATCATTATCTCAGTCTTGGCTTTGGGAGGGGTTCCGGAGAAGTGGTTATTACTGTCATCACTTGAGGAGAGTACTCTAGTTAAGAAGAACAAATCATTGCTGTCTGGCAGGCAGTCTGTCCTGTGGAGGCTCTGTGGTTCCTTTCCTTGGGGGCAGTTTCCTCCATCCCTAGTTGTGAAGATGTTATCAGGCAGTCCTGTCCTTCCTGGATTCCAAAGTGATTATAAAGTGACTGCAGAGAGAACAGCTGAGAGAAAAGAACACAGATGCAAAAATGGAGGCAGGGATGCCAAGATTTTCTCCTGTTTTTAGTTAGTATGTACATGCAAGTTAGGAGTCAGTGCTTTGTAGCAAAAGCTGCTTAAGTACCTGTTACAGCCTCACAAGGGCTTATGAAAACAAAAGGAAACAATTCATACAGAGTCACTAGTATTAGCATTGGAAACTTCTTGTTTGGCTGGTTTTAAAATTTTTTTATTATTATTATTGTTATTATTAGTGGTACTGGTGCTTGAACTCCGGGCCTTGCACTTGCTAGGCAGGTGCTGTACCACTTGAGCCACACCCAACCCTGTTTGTTTCTCTTGAGATAGAGTCTTAAAGGCTGGCCTAGAAGTCTATCTTCCTGATGTTACTGGGTTTGGGATCACTGGATCTGGGGACAAGAAAGTTCTTGGTCTCCTCAGAGAAAGAATTCAAGGACAGACACAGAAAACACTTAAGCAGGAGCAGGCTTATTAATGCAAAGCAAAGCAAAAGTGCACCCTCCAGATAGGAGAGTGGGCAGACTTAAGGAGGAGTGCTGCACTGGGGGCATGGCTCAAGTGGTGGAGAGCCTGCCTAGCAAGTGTGAGGCCCTGAGTTGAAACCCAAGTACTGCTGAAAAAAAAAAAAAGAAAAAGAAAAATGAATCAAGGAACACTGCCCTGGAGGTCCGAAGAGCTCAAGCTTTTGGTAGGATCTGTGGATGTAGGGGTGGTCAGTCCTGTAAAACTTCCAGAGACTGGGTTTTGAGTCATCTGCTCCTCCCACATGTTGGGAAGGGGAGTTCTTGGCTTTAGGTGGTCGGACTGGGGCTGTCATTTGCCACAGGCTATGGGGGCTGTGGTCAACAAGACCCTGCTGTATGTTACAAGTCCTTCTGTTAACATCAGCAGGCGAGGATGTGATTATCAACATCTAAGGTATCATTCTCAGCCATCAGGTTTCCTAACTCCCTGCCTGACTCCTGTATCACTCTTGCCTCAGCCTCCCAAATGCTAGGATTACAGGCTTGCACCACCACGCCCAGGCAGTTGGTTTCTTAAACATCAAATATTCTTAGCTGAAGTAACTTGAATCCTGACTCAAAGTAGCCTGAGCAGTGAGGCTGTCATTGACTCAGTTAATGGGCCAGTTTAACTCAGTGGCTATAGCTCTGATTCACTGCATTTTCCTGCTGTGTGTCTTGTTTTTGTTCTTAGTATAATCCCCTCATGGTGCCAAAATAGTTGTGGCACTGTTAGGCTTCTGACTTGCTTGTTGGAGTAAGGGCGGGTATCTTGTCAGCAGTTTGCTGCAAACTGTCCACCCATCTTACTGGTCCCTATCCTGGGGAGATGACCTGCACGATTGGCTCATGACCCCATCACTGGGGTCCTTTAGCTCCTTTGGGCCTTCCCAAATCTCAGGGCTTTCCTGAAGCACTCAGGGACAAGCCCTGTGTACAGTGGGCTGCTTTTCCAGAGGAGGTAAGAGGAAGACTGGCAGGGAAGCAGCCGCAAGGTCCTCACATTAACTGCATGCCCTTTGGCTGGGGTCCCCGCTGCAGTGCTGTAGGACTTTCTCCCACTCCACCCTCTGCAGCTTTCTCAGGTTTTTCTGGTGTGCTTGCCATCCTGCATGTTCCTCTGTTCTGGTGACCTTGCTGAGGTCTGCTCATGACTAGCCCTACTGTTCTCTTGGGCACCATACACTCCTGCTACTCTATCAGGCTCAACTATGCTCTGCAGGGGGTATCCTGGTGGTCCCAGGGACAACAGGAGAATGTTCCTCTGCAGTCTGTGTCAGGCTCCGTGTTTGGACCCCAAAGCATGGCTGCTGTGCCTTTGGTCTCTCAGAGCATCTCCCTCATGCCTTTTCTAGTTTCTCACCTCCTTCCGTCTTCCCCCATGGGGCCGGAGCTGGCCCACAACTGAGCTGGGACAAGCCCCTTCCCATGCCTTGCCCTGCCTGCCCCCCTTGCCTTCAGGACCTCCCTGCACACAACCTGAACTTATCCGTTCTCCCTGCGGTCAGACTGGCCACACTCAGTGCTGAGTGGCTCTTACATGGAGCCGCTGGTAGAGGACAGGACGTTAAAAGGGAGAATTCCTCTCCTGGGCCTGTGAGGGCCCCTACTGCCTGGTTTATGCTCTCTAGCTGCTGCCATTCCCGGCCTTCCCTATCCAGGTCCTCTCAGGATAGGTCCTGTGAGGGCAGAGGATCCCCTGGGAATGCCAAGAACAGATGCCAGGTCTCTCCTCATTCCTGTGCTATTTCTTCCTTCCCCCCGTTTTGTTTTTGGCTTTCCTTCCTTGCTTTTTAATATGTAATATTAAATGTAGTTTATATGTTTAATTTATATATGTAATAGTGCTTCCTACCCCTATTTCTTCTTTTTTTTAAATCCACATGTAACTTTTTTCCCCCTTCTCTGGTGGCACTGGGGTTTGAACTCAGGGCCTCATTTGTGCTTGCTAGGCAGGTGGTCTACCACTTGAGCCACACCTCTAGCTCCTCTCCCTCTGATTTGTGAACTAATATGTTGTTAAAATTTGGAAACTACAGAAAGAATAAAAAAATGTCTCCTGTAGCTCTACAGTTCAGAGAAAAGCACTGTAAACATTTTGGTGTTTTTCTTTCTAGTGGTTTCAAAACATGTGAGTGAGTATTTTGAAAATTGGTTGAGGTCATGCTGTGTACACAGTTTCATGTCCTGCTGTGTTCACTGAACATTAGATTCTGGGCATCCTCCATGGCATTAAGTATTACTTGACAATCTTTCAGTTACAGCAAGCTTTTCTGGTACAGAAATAGGCCAAGACTTAGTTTCTCATTTTTAATAATGCCGTAGTGAGCCTCATGGTTCTTTTCACAAAAGAAATTTCTAGGAGTGAAAATGATTTGCCCATCATCTCCCAACCTGAATGCTGCCTCCGTTCCCAAGGGACAAACATTAAAGCCCATGTCTGTGCTTGGAGTTCAAATTCCAAATGCGTTCTCCCTTGCTCAGTGCCATGGCTCTTGCCACACTGTGCTGCAGACCGTCCCAGCATAGCAAAGGTCAGGAATACTCAGGGTCCTGTCAGCACCTCATGTCCATCGTATGGATCACACTATGCACAGTGCTTTTGATGATGTCCTCTCAACAAAAGCTGTCCCTGGCTCCTTTTCTGGGAATGGCACAACCCAGAAGGTTTCTCATGAGTGAGTGAAATCCTTACAACTCTCACTGCAGTGGGAAGATGCCTGAAGTGGACTATGTGGTTCTGTCCGAATGGTTTGACTGGATTGTGAGGAACATCCAGGTGTCGGTGGATCTGATAGGTAAGAGGGCATTTTCCTGCCCCACCTGTAGGCTCCCCTGGGACCAGCCAGGATGTGCTTGTCAGGGCCTTGCCCCACAGGGACTGTGGGGGTAGGGGACACTTGCCATTGGTGATTCCTTCCCCATGTTAATTCCATCTTTCCCCAAAGGCAGACAGAATTTTGGGGCTTCTGGGCTCTTATGGAGAAGAGCCTGGCCTTGGTTCCTTAAGCTGCTCTCCCCTGGGCCAGCTGCTTCCAGGCTGAGTCCATTGGGATTTGATAGATTTTCTGGGTTGTGAAGGATGGGGACAGACAGAATCTGGACATTTACAGAGGCTCTTGGCATGCCAGACCTCGTGCCAAGTTCTGTCCATGGATGGAATTGCTTTCAGGCTCACAGTGGCCCCATGGGATGGGGACATAGACAGGAAACAGGACTTGGGGGATAGGGGTCAAGATGGATGTTGGCCACACAGCTGGCCAGTGGTGGAGCTGAGAGTTGGCCCCTAGTGTGTGGTTCTCCTGCTCGACGAAGCAGCTGTTTTCCATCCTGGGCCCTTAGGCCTTCCCTGGCTTTTACTCCCAACCCATGACAGAGCAATCAGTGCCACGTGTATTTTTTAACCTCAGTTTATCTCCGGACCACTCCTGAGATCTGTTACCAGAGATTAAAGATGAGGTGCAGGGAAGAGGAGAAGGTCATTCCACTGGTAAGACCACCCGGAAGCCACCTCCACCCCAGCCACTTCCCCTCCCCAGTTCCTCCTGCCATGACACCATCATGCAGTTGTCCACAGAGAGTGGAGGAGGTTGGGAGAGGGGACTCTGACTTCCTCTGGGGCTGTAGCCCTTTTAGATGTCAGAGCTACTCCACTTCCCATGATTCCTGGCTCCATCTTCTGTACCCCTGTGCTCAGAGGCATTCTTTCCTGCCCCACCTGATGGCATCCTTTCCTCTTCCTGCCTTGGCAAGGCCATGGCTTGTCTGCCCCTCCTCCTGAAAACTTTGGCTCTGTGTCTCCTCTGGATCCTACTAGCATGTGAGTTCCAGGAGGGCAGGACTGAGCCTTTCACTCCCTGCCGCATCTAGTGCTTACTTAGCACAGTGCTCAGCGTGGGTATGGTGCTTAGTGCTTGGTAGAATCTGCACAGCACAGGGTTCTGGCTTTCTGGCCACATCAATCTAATTGGGACTTACGCAACAGGCTTGGTCTGTTCTTCTTGCCCTGGTCCTTCACCCTCCAAATCTCCCTCCAAAATCTAACCCCCTTCCTGGGTGAAATTTCCACCACAGAATACCACTCATGCAATTCCTCAGTCTGAGACCTGTCAGGGCCTCACTGCTGTCTGCAGTTCCCCACTGTATAGCATGGTCTTCAGGATCCCACGTGGCCTGTAGCCTCTCTGGCGTTGTTCTTCTACTCCCTGCTCTCCTTTCTGTGACACCCCTCCCCCCCCCCCCCCCCCCCCCCCCCGCCGCCCTGCCACACACCGTAGAGTTATGTAAATGTGCACAGTGGTTTCCTTTGCTTTAAAAGTTCAGCTCTGATGTCACCTCTTCCAGGAAGTCTTCCCTGACCTCCTGTCCATTGTACCTCCCCTGCCCCTATGCTTACTGAGACGGCCCTTAGGACAGTATACTGACAGTATTTGTTTATGCCATTACTCTCCAACCCTGACTTAACTATGAGATTTTTCAGATTTTTTATCTCCTTCGTGTTCTCAGTGAGCTGGGGCCTGGCACCTGGTAGTTGCTCAGTTAATATTGAACAGACTGCCTCACGTGAGCAGCTTTCACCAGGGGAGCAAAGACAGATGTGGGGCAAGCATTTAGTGGACATTATGGGCCTCTGGACTCAGGATGGGCTGCACTGGGGGCCCTGAAAGCCTTGTCCAATCCCTGCCCTTGGCCAGCAAGGCACATTTGAGCCATGAAAACTGGGACCTCACTCTGGGGAGCTCCTTTGAAGTCCCAGAGCCAGGAGCAATAGGAGAATGGAGAGCTGAGGGCAGAGCCCAGCTGGGCCATGCTTTTGGGGCATGGCAGCTTTGTGCAGTGACCCAGATGCTCACAAGAAATGCCACAGTGAGTCCTTTGAAGCCATTATTCAAATGGTTGACTTAACAATTTTGATAAGGCCTATGGGCTAAACGTGACTGGTGCCAAGGGAGAGCTTGGTGGCAGGTGAAAAGGGGTAGCACAGTTTACACAAGAGCTTCTGGGATGGCAGGTAGAACGCAGCTGGGGAGGTGCCCATCGGTGGCCTGCACTTGCTAGCCGATTGTTGCAGAGTGCATGCGTACAGGGCTGCTCAGTGTGGAGGAACCCATGGCTTGCAGGGTGTCTGTGCCCCTTCCCCTCAGGCTGCACCTTGCCAGGCTTCTTGCAGGTGGTGCTCTTCATGGTCTGCAGGGTCCCTCTATGACGTGAGTGGTCTGGGGGTGGAAGTAGCAAGGAGACAGTTGCAGTTCTCTTGGCAGGTGGGTGCAGAGGCTGCCTAGGTCTGGGAAGCCTGTCACCAAGCAACTTTGCTCCCCTTCCTGCTCCTAGCAGCCCATGCCTTTATGTCTCCCTTGCAGGAGTACCTGGATGCTGTTCACCGCCTCTATGAGGAGTGGCTCATCACAGGAGGCCTCTTCCCAGCTGCGGCCCCTGTTCTGGTAAGTCTCTCCCTCACAGGGCAGAAGAATTCTACAAGGATGGGTGCCTAGGGTGTCAGCCAGTCTGCAGATGGTCCCAGTCCCTCAGAACGCAAGGATTTGTAGGGAGGAAGGTGGGAAGGCTGGAAAGGGCTTTCTTTCTCAGTCTCCCTTTTTGGACTGAGTCTCAGAGTGACTCAGACAGACTCGAGAGAAGGCTTTCTGTCCCAGTGCCATGATAGCTTGGGATCTCAGTAACATGTCACTTATCCAGCATCAGCCACGAACAAGTACCCCAGATGCCTAAAGCATCTGCATCTGGGTTTGGGTTTGGTCCTTTTTCATGGTCCCTTTGCAGTGACCTTCCTTCTTCAGAGATGATACAGCTTCAGCTCACCTTTTTGTTCTGTGACTCAAGGCTATTGGAAGGAACATCAGTGGCTGCTCTGGGCTGTCACACAGTGATGCCCTTGGGAGGTGTCAAGGTGCGCAGGACTGTTTGCCCAGACTACTGCTGTCTTTGAATTCCTGTGTTGGCTTTTCATGATAACTCTCCTTTCTCTTGCTGACATGTGCCATTTCTAATGAGTACCAATGTGTCTGTTCCAGTCAGTTTTTCGTGCTGCCCATCCCCAGTGTTCTGATGTGCTGTTCCCATTTCTCCAGGCAGGTAGTCAGGACCTGAGATTGTTGTCATACAATGGAGGACCACTTGCTTTCATGCATGGCCTTGGCCTGCACAGACACTAGCATAGGGACAAATTACTGTGGGGGATTTTAAAATCCACCTCCTCCCCAATTATTAAAAAATTGGAGACTGTAGAACAATGAGAAGGGGTTGGGAATATAGCTCAGTGGTAGAATGCTGCTATGAGGCTCTGGATTTTATCCCCAGCATTGGGAAAAAAAGCAAAAACAAAAACCCAAGAAGGAAAAAGCACTCATGAGCTCCCTACAAGGACAACTGTTACGTCTTAGGCAAAAATCTCGTTCAGTGTAGACTGCCCTAGATGGGGGAGGGGGAGGCGCTCTTTGGCCCTGACCTTCCTTTCCTTTCTATCTGCCTGCGTCTTTGTGCTTCTCTGCCTCTCCTGCTTCCTCTGTAACCTGTGTGTTTCACTCCAGGTGATCGATGCTGACCACAGCATGGAGAAAATGTTACAGCTCTTTGAACAAAACCGGGCCTGGATGTTTACTCCTGAGAATTGGAAGCATGGCCCGTAGGATGGGAAAAGTCTGCAGGACCATGCCAGGAAAATACCCGTTTGCTATCAGGAGCAATTTGAAAAAATCTCTTACCAGGGCCTCTTATTTGGCCAGATTTATTTTTCTAATGACCTTTTCCACTTGGTCGGTGTCTTCACCATGGGACCAGTGGGTTTGTCTGCTGGCCCTTTGGTGTTTGCAGCTGCACATTCCCCCTGGTGGCTTCCCACTGGGTCCCTCCATGGAAGCCCTGAGGAAGGACGCTTGCATCATGCTGGGTGCTGGGTGTTTTCAGACCACCTGGCAGGGTGGGGTGGGGTAGTAGTCTTACATCCCAGGTGAGGAGTTGAAGCTCAGGTTCAGGTTCCACTGGACAGGCTGCCTCTTCCTGAGCACCACTCCCCACAGCCCTGCCTCCTGTTGCCGCCCCTTGCACCTTCATGGGGAGAGCTGGCAGTGCGTGGAGCTGATCTGAGCTTCTGATTGTTGAGCAGTTCTCAAAGACAGCCAGCATTGTAGACTTCCATAAAACCGTGCTGTTTGGCTCAAGCCAAGTGGTCTGTGGCTTCCTGACATAGGCGTTGCAGCCTCCACCCCTCCATCATCTGGACTTCAGTGGCTGCAGAAGAATCCCAAGTCAGCTCCTGAATGGTGCCCAGTCTCCTTAGGGATGAAGGTGCAGCCCAGCAGTCACCATTTCCATGTCAGGAAGTAGGATTTGGGGCCTGGACACTTTGACTGTTTCCAAGCAAGGCCAGGAGCAGCCTGCCCTGGCTTCCAAGGCTCCCTCACTCCCTCACCCCCTCATGTCCTCATGTGAGGAGCTTTGCCCTTAGAATGACTGAGCATTTGTGACCCAGGGAGAGAGAGAAATGGCCACAAGTGTTTTGGAATGTTTTTGCATGCAAGGGGACCTAACAGGTCATAGAGCATGACACTGTCATTGGATCAGCTGTAATGGTGCACTGAAGGGGCAATACGTCATGAACCAAGTGGGAAGCAAAAGAAAGGAAGAACTTTCTCTCTATGGACAGTCTGAATGGAAAAGTCAAGGTTGGCCAACAAAGGCTCTTGATACACTGCAGCTTCTGGTATTCTGGAGGTGGGTGGAGAGTGCCCCAAGAAAACTGGGCACAAGCACAGGAGGGGTTATTGTGAACTCTGGAGAAATACAGCAAATGCAGTTCCCCCAATGCTAAATATGGACACCTGTGCACGTGGCACTCTATCAACAGGTGCTAAGTGGTCAAGGATTCCAGGTCCTTTCTGTTTGAGCCAGTTTTGGGCCCTGTCAGCAGGATGAGGAAGGGACAGCAGCACAGTGGGATAGGGGAATCGTGTCCAGCAGCACCTGCAGCCCAAATGCTGGTGATTAACCAGAAAACTGAGGAAGGCAGGTTCCTTCGTTCAGGAAACCTGACATACTGGGGCCATCTTTGGGAATTTGTAAATGAGCAGTCCAGTACTTCCCCCTCAACTGAGGTAGAGCATCTGTTTTGGGAGAAACGTCATTTTTCTCTAGCTCAGTGGAAGGCAGTAAATCTTTCATTTGAACCCTGGCGTTAATTTTCAGGTGCTTCTTATGCTAGTGACTTTAGCTCCGTGCAATATCCTTTTTTATTTAAACATTTTTTTTCCATTTTTATTAAGATATATTTCTTGTACAGGGGGATTCATCGTGACAATTCCAAATAGTCCCTGCGATATCCTTTTGCCAGTAAGATAATGTGTTCTTATTTTTAAACACCGTGTTTCTTTTTTTATTATTATAATTTTTATTAGATCCCCCCTCCCCCCGCACTACACCATGTTTCTTAATATGTTGTGTAAGGGTCCAGAGAAGCCTGCTTGTCCTCACACTCTGGCATCTTGGAGAGCAGTGGTTGGGGCTGATTGCCAAACCTCCCATCCCAGGTATCACACCTGAAACAGCCAGAGCCAAGCTTGTACAAGGACTGCTGTCTTGTGTGACGGGGACTGGTGGAAGCATGTGTCATGAAGTGGTTCCCAACGTTGCCATGAACCTGGGCTGGAAAAGGGCAGATGGCACATGGTAGACATGACAGGGACTAGTTCTTAGACACAAGGAGGCCTCCTGAGAGCCTCCCAGAAATGGCTAAGAGAATCATGGCAGAAGCTGGCATCCAAGCATATTGGATTCACCCTGTTCTTACTCTGAGGCTGAGGATCTATGTCAGTATATCCAGAGCTGCCTAGGCTGCTTTGACTCCTATGAATTTTTTAAAAATTATCAAATAATATACATATTTTCTTTCAGTTTTATTTTTAGTGAGATTCAATTCATATTTAAGTTTTTTGTTTTACTTACGTACCATGCTATTAAAACCATTAAAATATTTCATGTATCTGGTGATTTAAAAACAAGTTATAAATATCCTTCTCTTTCACATGAAAAGTATGTGTAGCTGAGCACCAGTGGCTCATCCCTGTAAACCTAGCTACTTGAGAGGCTGAGATCAGGATGATCCAGGTTTGAGGTCAGCCTAGGTAAATAGTTCTCAAGACCATATCTCCAAAATAACCATAGCAAAACGGACTGGAGGTATGACTCAAGAAGTAGAGTGCCTGTTTTGCAAGTGCAAAGCCCTGAGCGTAAACCCCAGTCCCCCAAACAAAAAAGTGTGTACAGGTCCAGGGCTTTGTGGCCATCACCATCCAGCTCTTCCTTTCTGTTTCCTGTTCCAGGCAGTTCTACTTCCAGGTTCTTGGCTTTCTGTTTTCCAGGAGCCTATCTAAAGATGGCAGCCAATGGGACTTTGTGGGCCAATGTTGGCAGTGGGACTGTGACCGGGCTGAGTGCTCTAAGAAGACACTCATCCAGAAGATCCCAAGTTCTTGTGTCACCTGAACAGAGAACTGGACAGAGACACAAATTGCAAAACTTTACTGAAAGAAAAGGAAAGAAAGTAAGAGAAGTGGTGGGCTCCTGCCAGGTGGCATAGAAGCATTGATCTCTTTGCTTAAGCCCAATTTATAAGTTGTAAGGTAAGAAAGTCCTTAGGTTGGGGCTAGGGAGGTTGGCAGGTTTAATTAACACAGCCTTATCACATAGTATGGGGTATTCTGCACAGTGCTTATGCTAATTTCCAGGTCTTTAATTGTAGGTATGAGATGTGACCAATATCCATAAGGTCTTAAGTAGAGGACTTTTCCTAAGAGGTCAAATTGGGGGCAGACCTTTGTTTTGTTTTTTTGTTTTCTCCAGGCAAGCCAGGCTCAGAGGTGTCCCTTTGGACACTATCTTGCAATGATATTTACGACCGCCAGGGGATTTACAACTCAGGGGATTTATTGCTCTAGAGATGACTCAGGGCTAAGCTAGGAGGAGTAGTGAAAAAAGTCTAGCATGAGGATATCAGTTTGTTGAGAAGGGAGTCCCATGGTGGATTTTTTTTTTGTTGATAGCCTGCCTCAGAGCCAGTGCTCCCCATTCTTACCTTAATTCATATTTGGATAATGACCCTTTCCACAGGCATATCTGAGATGACAGAACTTCTAGAGACTTTGGTAGGAGGAACACAAGAGAGAAATTGACAGCCATAGACTGGGCCACATCATCTGGCATCAGCTCCTGGTGCCCTCAGGGTCCCACATCATTGTCACCCTGTCCACCTTGTGCTATGATGTCCTTGGCTCAGCCTGCCTCTCATGCCAGGCATAGCCCAGGAGGAGTGAGTCATCATTCCTTGGACATGAGTGACCAAATTCAAGAATTAGTGATGAGGACTCTTCCTTTGACATGAGTGACCAAATTCAAGAATTAGTGATGTGGACTCTGGGAAATGATGTCACCTAGCTTGTTTTTGCCTTTCAGTTTCTCTTCCTGCTACTTTCATTTCCATCTGAGCCCTTCTCCTAGAGGAGACCTGCCCTCCATAATGGGAATACATCCATCAGAAAAATACTCCTCTGTATGCCCCAGACTCTCAGTATCAGGGAGGGAGATGGTGTTCAATTCTCAGAGCAGGTATGAGATATTTCTAAACCCTGTCTGCCTTCAGGGTGCTGCTGAACCTGGACTCCCTCTGTTTTCCTAGAGCCCTGGGGTCGGGTGGGCGCTTACTTCAAAAGCTTACGTATCTGTAGAATGAATATCAACCCCTGGCTTATCCACCTCAAAGAGTTACTTAGTGAAATAACATGGGCTCTTGAACATGTCTGCTACATTGTTCAGAATATAAAAATGCCACCTGAACCTTTGGGATGTGGTACAGGATTGCTCACTGAAGGCCCATGGTCTCTGGCACTAACTTTCTTTTTCCTAATCACCCCAGTCCTGCATTTCACTTGAGGCTGGAGTGCATTTTGTTTTCCTTTGGTTTACATAAGGCCAGGAACTTGGCTAAAGCTGTCATTAAACAGAAGGGAAGAGAAAGCTTGTCTCCTAGAGTTCAACGGGTGCTGGCATTTACTGCTCTTCACAGAAGTGATCTCGAATTTGAATTTCTGTATTTCTTCGCTTTTTCTTCAAGACTGGTGCTGACCAGTCTGGGCTCTTTGGACCATGGGCATCCTGGGGGATAGTTAATTGGTGCTCTGAGAAAGCATCTGGAGGCACAGAAGTTTGGGAAACCACCTGTGTCCTTTCTCTCACATGCACAAGGCACACTAGCCTAAATAAAACTCAAGGGGCCTCACAATAAAAACACTTGTTAAACTAAAGGCAGGGGCCCTCAAACTTACTTGCTGGTGGAACTCCTGATTTGGAGACCCCATTAACAGTTTCCTGAGCACTCGTTTTGCTGGACCACACTTTGGGAAGCAGTGCTATAGATGTTTGCAGCTGCTGATGGCTCCTGGCTTCTGTGCTGGAGGGATCTGAAGCTCCTTGGTTCTCAGACTTTGGGACATCCTAGTCACACAAGGCTTGTTAGGATGTAGAATGCTGAGTCCCACCCTCACAGTTTCTAAATTAGCCCATGGTTGGAGGTGGAACTTTACAAGTGATGATGAGGCTGCTGGTCCAGGAACCTTCTTTTTGAGAAACACCTCTCTAGCTTTATGCGTTCTAGAACCAGTTATCCAGGACTCCAAGGAAACCTTGCTATGTTATTCAACCTCTCATGAGTCCTGGCTGTCTTACCTGTTAAATTACAGCATTGCTTCTCAGAGTTCTGACGCATGTGGAAGGGGCCCGGACCAGGGTCTGGTATGTAGCAAGTGACTGACCAGTAAATGTTAGTTCAGTCAATACGCCTGGAAGATCTAGGCTGAGATGTAGTTAGTGGGCTCAGTAACCCCTGTTTTCCATGTCCTCAAATGGATGCACTGTCTCACAAATTACTCAGGCACCATCCTGACTGACTAGTTAGGAACAGGCTGACCCTCAGATCTGTACCTCTGAAAAGTGCTCGTATCATTTCTGCAATTACATACTAGTGGGAAAAAAGTTGGCCTTTCTTTTCTTTTTAAATGTTCCCACTTTTCATGGATCTCTAGTTCCACACCTAGAATTCTGTAGCACAAGGGAAGACTGGCAGAGACTGGGCTGCTTCTCGAGCCCTTGACACAGACACCTCTTTTTGTACTAATGAGGCCCTGGGGTTCCTTACACAATACACTGATAGTCTGCAGTCACTTTTCTTGGAAGACCTGTTTCTCAGTGAGTTAGGTGACCTCTTACCCTACCTTTACCTTAACGCACAAAACAGACTTATCAGTGGCCAAGGATGGACAGAACTTGGCAAGTCTAGGAAATGCCTAGAAAAATGAGCAGTGAGCAATGACTCTTGCCTTTTGAGATCCACTTGGTGTTGTGGATGGGGCTTGGGCTTTGGGGTCATAACGGGCTGGGGTCCCAGTTTCCTGATAATTGGCTGTGAGACCTCGGGCAGGTCATACCACTTTGCTATTCTTGCTTTGTTTCGTGGACACTAGTGTTCTATTTCTGTACAGACTTAGGAAGGGGCAAGTTAAATGGATAACCGAGAGGGTCTACCTGGTTCCTTTTAATCCCCTCCGCACTCTGTGCTTGGCCTCAGAAATGACCAGACTTTCTTGCACTTTCACTGGTGAGATATCTGGAAGGGAAAGTTGTTATTGGTGACCTCACAAGCCAAGGTAGTGAGACTTGCTTTACATTTTTGGAATATGCTTCTCCACCAGGGCTATGGGGAGACATTGTCTCTGCATCCTTGTCAGCTGTTCCCTTGGCCTGGAGGCCCCAGGTGATTCCTAAGCAGGTGATTCTCCTTGCTTCTCAGACACTACCTGTGCCAGGCCTACCCTGGTGAACAGGATAGCCATTTACCCTCTTCCCATGAGCCATGTTCCTCACAGCTGACCCACATCCCTGAGGAAACCCTCACTCAGATTCCAGCCTCAACAGCCCTGTCTGGTTTATAGAATTAATCGCTTTACAGTAATATTCCCCAAAGTCTCAATGATAAAACCAGTATGATAAAATCTCAGTGAAGTGACAGTATATAAAAGTGACATACACAGACAATGAGCAGAAGTCACAATGCTAGTGAAAATCCCACTTACCATAGCAGCAAAGATGATTAAACACTGGAATAAATTTAACAAGAAAGGTGCAAAACTATATGGGAAAATGCTGAAACACTTCTGAAAGACACTAAATAAGATGAAAAAGGTAAAGACCCCTCTCTCCCATTCTTGGATATAATGATGTTAGTTCTCTGTAAGTTAATTTACAAATTAAATTTTTAAAATTTTTTTGGCGGCACTAGGGTTTGCACTCGGCCTCATGCTTGTTAGACAGGCACTCATCACTTGAGCCAGCCATCAATGCAACCTTAATAAGAGCACCACAGACTCTTGTATAGAGTCAGATATGTTATGGTTAAGTTTATATAAGACATGCAGAAATAATCATGAAACCAATAAAAAATTAAAAAGCATGATGGCAACTAGCCATTAAAACACACTTCAAAACCTCTGTAATTAAAACAGTGTGGTATAGGCACATGGAATAGAATGGAGAGCCCAGAAATAGACCCAAGTGAAAGTTGAAATTTAGTATTTCAAGTCAAGGCGGGTAAGGTGGGTTTTTATTAAGTTTTTTTTTTTCTTTTTTTGGTGTACTGGAGTTTGAATTCATGGCTTTGGGGTTGCTAGGCAAGCACTGTACCAATTGATCCATACCTCTAGCCCCTAAAGGTAGGCTATGGTGCTGAGTTGACAGGGTGATCATATGGAAAAAAATAGAAATAGATCCATATCTCATACCATACCCAAGGATAAACACCAGTGGTTAGGGATCCAAACATAAAAACAAATCACATGGTACTGAAAATATATGGATGAATAAAACCTCGATGCAGGGATATCTCTTCGGCTCCCCCAAAGTGTTCCTCACCAGGGGAGTGAGTTAGCACTTCTGAAACTACGTTACTAGAATTGAACAAATAAGTTGGTAGACTACAGACTATGAGCACCAGGTTTCTTACTGTTGGAAAAAGAAAATATAAAGGGAAAGACTAAAATAAACCCTGTGGTGGTGGATTAGAATCAGAGGCATGAGTATAAATTTATGGTT